GCGCCAAACAAACAAACATACTCGTGTGCTTTATAATAATAGTATAGATTAAATAATTTAATAATTGCATATGTAACTATTATCTAAAATATAACAATGTAACGACTTGCTACATAAAAACTAGGTTATAAATTAATGATATCGTTAATGTATTCAAACTCACGGCATTAGAAACAGACGAGGTATGAAAAAGTATTTATAGAGATTAACCGTCGATATCGTATCATGAATATAAATGAGACAAGGCAAAAACAAGATGTGTCTGGGAGAAATAATAAGAGCCGATCGACTTGTGTCTATTCGCTGGCGTCCTTGAATGGAGAAATCCTTGATGAGTACAATCAACCGCCACCGGATAAGTCGCCTTACAGGGCTACCAATTAATATTATTACCATTGCCGTATGTTATTGGTGCTAGAACGACATCGTAAATCTATGATTTATTCACGACGTGTGTCACTGAATGCCCCGGCCGCCACATTATTGCTCTTAGTTCGTTATTTAATTTGTGAGCCGCGATGTTTTTTGCTAACGCGAAATATGCGCGTACGCATGAAGTGTTATTACCGCTAGTAATGTGTTATAGCGAGTTAGAGACGCTTAATAATTTAGTTTTTGGCTAGAACCTTTTCCAGACACAAACAATTTAAGGTTGTAAGCTGCCATTAAGGTTTTAAGTTGTAATTTTAAAATGTTTTATATGTTGATTATATAGTTGAAATTTTCAATTATTAGGTGGAAAAAAACCTCCTAATAATTGTAAGTTAGAAGTTAAACTTCTTACATTACTACGCGTTCCAATTCTTTGTGTATCTTTCCTGTATATTTCATATATACAATATTATATTATTCATTAAATTTCTCGACCAAAATTAAATGATAAGCCTTTATTATGAAAACACTTTTATCTCCTGAAGATATGATAATTTAATGAATTACTAAATACCAATAACATTAAAAATATAACTAAAACGAATATACATCATTTAATATTAATTTAATTTGCTCTTAGAAATCTTTCGGGTTTGCTTGTCTTCAGACATAGGCCTCCTCTATATTTTTTCACAATGTTACATATATATTTTCGCCGTATTAAATTCTCGATCTATTTAAAGGCGTACTTAAATCCAGAACCAAACAGACACAATGGATCCGCGATGTAACAAGTGCACGCGGTTCTCAGTAGTACGACCTTTCTCTCGCCCTTCCGCACAATTTGATCAGCCGCGCGCCTCACTCCGACGCCCGATTGTGCTCTGTAGCATTGCATGGAAGTCAAGTTCACGGTCTCTAACGATTCGAACTTTTTATAAACAAGTTACAGCACCCGCATTAGCCATGGTCATTGAATTATTCGCTTTGCCTATTTCAACGTTAATACGCACTCCGTTTGTTTACGGGCGAATTATGTGCGTTGATTGCAAAGGAAAATTGCATTGGCCACAAATATTTACTTTTTTTTTTATCTTTCTGCTAATATTTTAGATGTATCTTAAATATAATAAACTCATTGAAATCGTAGTTACAAACTTTTTTCCGTCAATCAATGGAAAATTCTAACTATGCTAAGTAACTATGTATAATTGTTATATTTTAAAACGTTGGCGTAAGTATATATGGTATAACTTAGTAAACTTTTGTCAGCATATAAACTAAAAATCTATCTATCTAGACACGGGCGGGATTTGAACTTTCATGAACAGCGATCCGAACTGCTCTAACCAATTAAGCTACTGTATCTTACACATCTTCGTCAATTTTCTTCAATCTATCAATACATAATATGTCATCTTGTGTAATAAAGATTTCAAGAGTATATAAATTACCTAAATCCTTAGATAATAACATCTACAGTGAATTCAATAAGCATTGTTTTCAAAGAAAATTTCACGGGAACTTAACTCTAGATCAGTAGCTTATCTAAGATAGGTAGATAATCTTCAGTGTTCTATTCATAATAATAAGATCAGCCACGATACTCGATCACTCCGAGACGGTCCATTATGAGTATTGTTCTCGACATTTGGCGCGGGGTCGATGACTCGCGCAATCAACTATTTAGTTGGGTTTGTTTCGCCTTGTCTTAAATGAGCACGACTTGTTAGATTTGTCTATGATTGAGCAGTTTGTTAATATAATATTGCGTGGGTATGATAGTATATTATTCTTGACTAGCGACCCGCCCCGGCTTCGTTTGGGTGCAATGCTGATACTAAAGACACTACAGAAAAACTGTGAACGTTGTAAATAAAAACCTTCTACTTGAGCCCTAAGGTATAAAAGTTTTGTTCCCGTCTCTCGAATTACATTTAGGTGATCGGATGAAAATGTCTGCCCACTCTATTATTTTTGATCGTGATCCCCACCTGTATGTACCTCTTGTATACAATGTAATGTAATGTAAGTAACATTGATAAGCAACGGAGGTATTAGAAGGTTGTACGGCTGTTTTAAATTTCAAAACTAGAGACGTTCTTAAAAATAATTACCCTAGACTTCTCATTATTATTTAACCTCGATATAAAAGGCATTATAGTTTTACACATCTGCGTGTTTACACCTGATAAGACGTTTGATAAATAATAACTTAACATTATATATAGCTGTCATAATAATTACTGTCATAATGATCTACAGGTGGCATTTTCCAACTACGATGGCCATTGGAAACATACTTAATAAGCAAAGGTCCAATTTAACCATCATTGCTTGGCATCTAGCGTTTGTAGATGACTTATAGCTTGGTAAGGTCATTGCCCAGAAACGAGATGTTTTGCAAAAAAATGCCAGCAATTGACAATCAGACGTTTTCTTCGTGATGTCATTTTGCTTATTTCGAGTACAATGTAGATATCTAGTACAAATTCTAATTATTTAAGTACCATATTCGTGTTAAGAAACAAAAAAAATTTGTGCCATTGTTTCTTAATATTTTTTTTCTTCATTAGAAATTTATGTTATATACCATGTCTTAAAACATACGTTTGTCGTTTGATATAGTATAGACTGCCTTTGCGGTTTTCGTGTTGCGTAAAGCGCGAGAGGTCCTGGGTTCCTATCCTGCGGAAGCAATAAATTGTTTCGCTTAGGCAGGGCATAGAAGTCCGATCAACCACTTGCCTCTAAATAAAAGCTATCAGTGAAACGGACACAGAAATGTGTTCGCCCCATGCCCCACGGGGGAAATCGGATTTCATTTATAAGATTTATGCGATTAACTCAGTTTGTATAAGAGAAACGTTTAGCATAATAATTATATAAATACAGCATGTAAATCTATGAGAACTGTCGGTCGGATATAAATCTTCACAAATAACGAGTCGGTTAATGTTATATTCGTGTCGGCGCCGTCTCTCAATAGTATCGCAGCGGACACCGTTAGCCTATTGTTGATTTAAATGCCGGAGGATCACATATTTGTCAATGTAGCTATGTATGATTGCGTTAGAACAACTGTAAGTGGCATCTTTTTTATGATAGAGGAGGACAAACAAACAAACAAATGGGTTTTAGACTGTGCACTCTTATAATAGAGCAGGACAGACAAGCACGGAGTTTACTTGATGGTAGGTGAAATACCCCAGAAATATACAATCGAAACAAGATGTGCTGTCAACCTATTTGGGATTTGGATTTTTCAAAAAAAATGTAGCGAGAAACGCCTGCCTTATCGCGAAAAACCGATTTCTTCCAGGCAACCTTAGACATGGAGATTTACAATAATAATTGATAGTAAGGGTAACAATAGAACCATTTTATACAATGCTAAGAATGTTCTTAAGGTTTGAATTAATAATTGAAGTAATTTACATAATTTAATAATGTCTATAGTTTACGCGAGTAGTACACATTTAAGTAAAACACTTTAACGGTTTAAAACGCGATGTATTAGTTAACCCGTGACCATGGCTGCTGCAAAGCATCCGAAACGTCGGGCCGAAGTTAAAAATCATTTTCAAATAAGTTTAACTAATATATCGCGTTTTAAACCGTTAAAGCTTTTTATTTAAATTTACATAATTTTTAAAGTGGTCTTTATACTTAACTATCTTGAGTATGAGGTTAAAAAATGCTACGTCGTTTGATGAGCTAGCCTTGATAGCGTATCGGCCACGCACTACTTCCACCCCTTGCAACGCTGGGGTTGGCTGCCCTTCCGCCTTATTGATTAGAGCCCACGTTGCATCTGATTAAGGTAGATTAAACGACCCACAAATAGTTTTTATTACGGCAGTACACCGCCTTTAAAAAATTAAGCATTTTGAACGTTTCCTAATGCTTGTAAACTTGGAGTGATACGTACTTCCATATAGACATACTCGCATCAAATGATTAAGTTCAAAATTATCTGCATTATGTGTTTTTAACTGGAATAATGGTCTTGCACATCAATTATTTATTTAAAAAAAAACATCCTCGGCTTTTTAAATTATAGCTGTTATCAACGACGTCGCGTCGACCGCGTCCCATCGTTCTTGCAATAGTAAAACGTTCATCTTAAACGACATATACTGTTGTTTGTTGTTGTTTGATCATTTAAAGAAGAATCATTCGGTCGCAGCTCAATATGCCTTCCTTGATAAATGATCAACCAACACAAAAGAATTATCGTTTCAAATCGAACCCGTAGTTCCCGAGATTAGAGCTTTCAAACATACAAACTCTTCAGCTTAATAATATTAGTATAGATTAAATTGTATATCAAAGTATTGGTAGCAAATGCATAAGAACTTGTATTGCGGTCAGTGAGGGTAGGTTGCGACATCGTTGTTGGTAACTATTTGCAATGAATCAATCTTACAAGTGAGTTAATGGCACCTCTCGCTCGACGTGATTATTGTTGTTATGTTCTTTCAATCATATTCGTTTGTATTTGATCAGATATTGAAAACATTTGGATATCTCAAATAAAATCTCTGTATCTGACACAAACGAAAAATATATATATATTTAGTGTATTATGAAATCTGTAGTGATAACATATTTTGTTTTATTTACAGTTCGCATCACCGACAGCAGCGAGCGTCGCGTGCGGCAGCAGTTCTTCCTCTTCAACGTCATCATCGTCCTCGTCATCGTCTTCGTCATCATCATCATCGTCTGACTCGGACACAGCGGAGGCCGCGGGCGGCTCCACGCAAAATCAACCGGATGATTCGAATGCTGCTCTTGCGGCAGCTTGTCAATTACAGGTATTAAGCGATGGTTATTATTATAGTAACAACATTTAGAGGATGGTGTTGATGCAAATGTTCGTTGATGACCTAAATGGATCTAAAATATATATGTATATCAAAGCTAAAGCGGCTAGATAAAGATCTGACGTAATAATCTAAAATGAATTCGTAGGTCATCGACGATGCGGACCTCGCGGAACTATTTCCAGAACAATCGACGAGCGCGCCGGTGCAGCAGCCTAATTTCTCGTCGTTTTCTGTGCACAACACGTCGCCAGACGACGATAAATCTATTGTTGATAATGGTAAGTAATATATCGGTAAATAATTACGTTAATTCAGTATTAAAATGGTTTTTCGCGATATTTGTTATTTCATAATTGATCGAATGTAGTACTTTTTATTATATTAACTAATTTCTTTTACAGGAGACGGATCCAGCAGTGAGATGGAGCTTACGCCCCAGTTAGTCACAGCTGCTATACAACGGGCTACTGCAGACTCGTCCGGTTCCGAAAATGAATGTTCTAATTCGGACCCCGTGCAAAGTACATCTCATTACGCGTCAAGTTTATTGCAACAATTTGTAGCACAGACGCAACTTTTAAGTAGTTCTGCCACTTTAACTAACATCAATAATACATCGTCATTACCTTGTGATATAAATGGCAAGCCGATTGATGGCGTAAATGCAATCGGTGATTGTGTACTGGGGCAAATAAATACCTTATCAGAAATTGCACCAATTACGCCGAACTTCCTTACTAGTAGCAGTAGCCAACAATTAAGTCCACAACAGAATGAGGAATTATCTCTCATAAATAAAGATCTCGCAGAAATAACTTCTGTTACAGACTCGGTTGATTTATCAATACCTAACCCTCCGAGTTTGGAAGACTGTGTCGACAACAACGACTTTATGAATTTGGATATAACTGCAGGAAGCTCAGAAATAGGAAGTGCTAGTGACCTTTTAAAAAATTCTCCATTAACTGTTGGTGATAACATAAACTCAATTAATCAAATAGACTCTCATAAGTTGGATACGATTAGTACCAATTCGCTTGAATCTCAAGAAGACTCGAAAAACGTTGTCATAGAATCTAGAAGAAAAAGAGGAAGACCTAGAAAAGTGAAAAAGATAGAAGACTTTGCAAAAAAACATTCTGAATCTCAAAGAGATGATAGACGAAATATAAACGTTATCAATGATTTCCATAATGTTAATGATCCACCTAATGTTTCACCTGATTCAGGCATTTTATCGAATCATAACTCACCGACTCACTCTCCGTTGCGTCGACATGATACTAACGATAATAACAGCAGGCATAGAAGAAAGTCCGTTCAAAAGGAAAATAATACAGTAGATAGAAAGAGTGCCAGGTCTAAATCAAAAACGAGAAGTAGCACTCAAGAAAAGTCGGACTCCAGTGATTGTGATTATCGAAAGAAAAAAGTGGAAAATGAAATTAAACAAATTAAGACCGAAGCTCCTTCACCAGTACCTCTAAAACAAGAACAGAGTAAATCAGATAAAACGAAGAAAACTGAGCGTAAAATTGATATTGCAGCCTTAGATAGAATGTTATATGCGACAGATCGAGTCCTTTATCCTCCGCGTAAAAGACCAGGACGAAAGCCTCAATCAAAGTCAAAACCAACAAAACCGTCATCAAAAACTTTAAAGGATAAAAATCAATATAATTCGGCTGATAGCGATAATGAATCCATCTCGCCTAATAGATCTGTTTTGTCTGGAGTTTATGCTAAAAGAAAAGAACTTAACAGTAAACTAGCTGTGATGCCCAAAAAGAGTTGTAAAACGATTAATAGCTCTTGGAGAGAAAATCAAAGTGAAAATGAAGCTGCAGCTGATGACTTGCTTGATCCCACATGGAAAGAAATAGACTTGAACCCAAAATATAAAGATATACTCTCAGGTTATAAAAGTGATTACGAATTTAAACCATATAAAAGCTGCAGTAGAGTAATTGAATCTGGTTATAAGAGCGATTACGGTTGTAGGAGTGGCTACAAGAGTGATAACTATCGTTCAGGATACAAAACTGATTATAAATCTGGATACAAAACTGATAAATCCGGTTATAAAACAGATTATAGTGTTAGAAGTATGAGAAGAAGAATAAAGAAACTAAAGAAAACTCGATCTGTTAGAAACAGATCATATTATAAAAATCAAAAACATTTTGTATCTGATCAGGAAATCGTATTATTGACAAACAAAACATTTACTAGCCTTACTATTGGGCATAGTTCAAGTGACTCAGAATGTGATACATATTTACGCAAGTCTACTGCTAGCCCGAAATACATTAGTGTTTGCACCAAATATCCCTTACCATCAAAGTATGATTACAACTTCAAAAAAGTTAATAAGAAAAATCTATTGCGATTAAATTCTTCGGATCCCTTTGCACCGGGACCGGTTTTTAGTGGGCTTCAACGTCCGATAACGACGTATAATATCTTCAAAGTAAGCCACAATAACAATAATACTCTGTTAAAATCTCCGTCGCAAATTAAGCGTACTAGTGGCAAGTTACCATCCCTTAAAACATCTTTTACTCATAAGTTTGGCGTATCACCTATAACATCTGCAAAAACACCTACAACACATAAAGATAACGGAAGAAATTTATCACCGAAGAATAAGAAACAAACAAAATGTTCAACGGCAGCTCTTTCAACTACTAAGAAGGAAAACATTAAACAATTACCGAATATCTTTGAAAAGGCGAAAAATAGCTACATTCCAAATAAAACACTATCGCGAAATGTATTCCTCAACTTTAAGAAAACTCACATTAAGCCGACATATCATATTAAAAAACAAAGAAGGACCGTAGTACTTGCTCCACCTAAAATAAATCTTAAACCCGCAGAACGCCCTTCGCGTATCACAATTAAAACAGAGAGTAAACATCACAGACATCGAAGTAAAAGGAGACATAGATCCAGATCGGTTTCAAAATGTAGAGAGTCTGTAAATCGAAATATTATGGAAACGGAGGATCAAAAGTTCAATCATGATATGGATAACCTTATAACCAATTTTATTATATTGTGCCAAGTCGCACCAAAGTTGATTACTAATGTTGCCTTAAATCCACCAAAGATCAGTGAAAAAGAAAAAGCTTCTACAGAAAATATAACACCTAAAACTGCTAAGCGAACTTCCAAAAAACGGAAAACTTCCGACAATTTGGAAGCTGCAACTCCTACATCTAAACGCAGACATAAAAAACAGTTAACAGAATCACAAAATAAGGGAGGAAAAGATACTAATGAACATAAACTACCCCTTAAAAAAAGACATTATCATATCAATTCTTCAACTAGTAACTCTTTGAGTTTGAGTCTTGTCACTACTGAGTTTGATGAAAATTTGAAAAATGGTAGTGCGGGCGAAAAATTTTTGTGTACAGAAACTGATTGTTTCGTAGATTTGCAGACACAATGTTCTGAAGAAAACACAAAATCAAAGGCTATATCTGAACAAAAAACAAAAAGGTTACTAGAAGGTACGAAAATGTTTAATGAAGCCAAAGGCCACAATGAATCAGAAACAATAGATATTAAAGTAGATGAAGAGATTGAAAACTTGCAAGTCAAACGAGATGAGAATAGCGTTATAACTAATGATACTGTTTTGAATGTAGCTATTGTGGCTGATGACGATTTGTTAATAAAAAAGCCTACTGCAGAACAGTCCGAATTGTCGAAAAAGATATATGAAACGTCAGAGAAATTAAAAGCTGTACATAAAATGGTTCACGATTTAGAAAGAAGTTTACCTAAAACGAAAGATGTTGAAATAAAACCAGATTCACTGAAAGTAGAAACAAGTCGTATATCATCACCGAGATCTGAATCTAAATCGTCGCCAGTTAGAAATCCTATAGTAACTCCAAAAAAAAGGCATAGATTAGAAGTAGATAAAAATGTATCACAGTCTAATTTGGACCAAGTCGTGCAATCGTTATCTAAGAAGTTAACAGAGGAAAACCCTGAAAGTATGAAAGATATAAATCAAAATACGTCCAACGATGATACTACGGGTTCAGAAAGAAAAAAATCAGTTTCACCGAGTACTGTTACACTCACTAACAATACCTGCTCGGCTGACCCTTTAAAAAGTATGTCCGCCCGATCTCTTTATAAGAGTTCTATTCCACCAGCACAAAAATCAGAAATCATGACACGTAAGAAAAATAGACTTGAAGGTTTAACTAGTAATTTAGTTTCAAAAATTAATCCAAGTGCTGCTACGAAGGTACTTGATACGCTTTTAAATAACAATATAAGAAAATCCATCGAGTCTCGTATTTTAGAAAAAGAAAAATGTACTACAGATAATAAATCTGAAGATAAAATGAGAGGAAAAGAATCGCCTTGTACTCAAATGAACACGAGAGCTAGCGTGATAAAGTCACCAGTTTCCAAAGGAAAAATATTAGAAAGTAAGGGCAAAGTAAAATCGTCTGATTCAATAGCTGATAGTTGCGTAGTTGTCAATGTGGAAAAACCCACAGGAATTTTTGAGCCTTCTATTGACTTAGAAGACCAAATACCAAAGTCATCTATATGCGTTAGCAGCGTTTTATCTGACGTGGCCAAAACCAAAAAGAATAAAAACCAAGATATAAAAGCCTCTTTATTGGTGTCTATAGATAACGAATCCGATATACCTTTGGCATTGATTGCAGAAAGTTCGGATTCAATTTTAAGACCAAAAAGAGGTGAATCAATTGCTTCCGTGATATCTGATAAAATTCAAGAAACTACTGGCGGTCATAACTTGCGACAAACAAAAAGAAATTTACCAAATGATAGCGATGACACAAGTGAAAAGAAAAAGAAAAAGCCTTCGAATAACATACTAAGGGAAAGTAAATTAGTGCTACCACCCAAAATAATGGTCCCAAAGATTCAAGCGGAGCGCTTGCCAGCGGGGGACGTAGTTAAAAAATCTAATTTACTGACAAAGAAAACTGAACCTGTGTCCATAGATTCGAACGATTCTTTAAAAGTAAATGACATATCCAAAAAGAAAACTAGAAGAAGAAAGACGTTTAATAGAACAGGTTTTCCGAGTGTCAAACGTAAGAAGAAAAAGGTGGAACCCAGTAGTTCTGCTAACACTTCATATGACCAATTCGCTTCAGAAGATACTGATAATTCTGTATTTGAAAGAGTTCCAAAAGATGGAGAAGCAATGAGCAACTTTTTGGAACGTACAGGCAATAGACAGGCTGAATTAAAGATCGTTCTAAATAAAGAAGACTGTCCGAAGCAGGGACGATTAACGGTTGTCGCATTAGAGAAGTTACAGGGGAAGGAAGTGTCAGGTAAAAGTAGCAATATTAAACAAGGTGATACGACTGTTCCAGAAAAGAAAACCCATTCAATTTTAAGAGCGCCAGCCTTGCAACTAAAACAAAAGACTGATAGAGAAATTAGGAACCATGTTAATAAATGGGAAGTTTTAAGCGAGACAGACAGTATACCTTCGTTGACTAGTTCCCTCGGTAACGACCCTGAAGACAGTATTCCATTAAGTTTATTAAATGTAAAGAATGACAAGCCTGCTAATAGAATGGAAGTTATCGACAGTTTAAAAAGGAAGAATCGAGGAGTCTCACCGTCAAATGAAATTGAGCAAATATTTTCAAAGCGAAAAATTGTAGAAAAGAACTCTAAGATTGCATTACGACCTAAGTCTAGCTTAGCAGTTTTATATCCCGGTGAACGACGCCACACGAGAAGTTTCGATAACACGAATGAAGATGGAAAAATGAAAACCAGGAAGTCTGATAAGAAAACGGTCGATAATATAGAAAAGGACAAACCCTTAAAACCATTGGGTATAATCACTAGGCGAAAGTCGAGGTCGTATCAACTAAATATGTCATGTAAAAAATCAGGCACCGATGTTCATTCTAGCTCGAGAGAAAGTTCCATAGATACTGTCATAAGTCGTAAAATACCTAAGTCGCGTGAGCCATCTACCGACACACTGCTCGATCATGATGAAAGTGAACCCCTACCGCTTCACGAGAAGGAAATTGACTTTGAAAAAAGTATAGATGTCCTCTCGAAGAACATCATTTGCAAAAAGAGGGTCGCCGCATCCCGTGATGGTAGTCCATCCAACGGAGCTGAAAGTAAAGATAAGATCGTCTCTAAGAAGAATCCAAGATTAAGAAAGAAGTTTCTGTTGGCGGGTTTATTCTCAGACTACTACAAAGACGAGTAAGTAAAATAATTTAATAATATTTTACCTTTATCAAGTTAAGTTTCAAAAGTTAATAATTAAAATTCTCATTACAGTCCAAAGCCTGATGGAAAAGGGAAGAACCTGGTTACGCAAACAGAATATCCGCCCGGGCTTTTAGGCCCGCCGCCGTACTGCGAACGATGGGTTAGAAAACGACAGATACACTTCACACTTCCCTATGACATTTGGTGGGAGCAGCATTACAACCAGCCAGTTCCTTCTTGGAACTATAAGAAAATTCGCACAAGTATGTCATATTTCTTTATATCTATAAGTAGTTTTAAGAAATACTTTTGTGTTGAGAAAACACGCTTTTGTTTCATTGAATGGCAAACCTACACATTCAAAATTAATAATATGTAGACACAAACATGTTTTATTTTGTATATGTAATTCTATGTATCCATGTTCTTATGTCTATGTTTGTGCAATAAAGAGTTTATTATTATTATTATTATTATGTAGATTACAAAAATTTAAGATATGGGGGGGGGGGAGCTTGGACTTTGGACATGTTTTTTCAATAATTTAAAAATAAATTCCAATCAACTATTTATCATCATTCGTTACAGCGATTTAGCAACATATCTGTTTTAACTATTTTCCTTCTTATCTATTTACCATTTGTGGCCTGAAATAGGCAAACTTGTAGTTTGCTTACTATAAATGACTCTATAGAACGTCACTGCTAAATGGTACGTTGACTTTGACTTAAATACATATCTCTCTTTTTTTTAGATGTGTATTATGATGTCAAACCGTCAGCAGAGGAGTGTGAGAGTGTGGCTTGCAACTGCGCTGCTTCGTCTGGCTGTAACGAGGATTGTATCAATCGGCTCGTCTACTCAGAATGCTCGCCACAACTTTGCCCTAGTGGGTAAGTATGACTGTCAAAAATCTAGTCAATAATTTTAAAAACATTAATTACTAGATTTTTCACTTTCTAAGATATATCAATGTTAAAAACATCAACTCACTGAAACATAAACTCAAAATTGCATATATAAATAACAATATTAACATTAAATGTGTTTTTATTTGTTTTTAATTTAATATTCTAAAAATTCCTTCGAAATCCAATAATATTGTAGACATTGCCATTTTTCAGTTTTGTATTAGCAATTCACTAATTATAAAATTACGCACAACTGTCACTATTCGTCGTAGACAAATCATTTAGTAACATGACACATTGTCATTCGTTTCAGGGACAGGTGTAAAAATCAAAGGATCCAACGACACGAATGGGCGTCCGGCCTAGAGAAATTCATGACAGAAAACAAAGGCTGGGGTGTTCGTACCAAACACAAAATCACATCAGGAGACTTCATACTGGAATATGTAGGCGAGGTTGTGTCTGATAAGGAGTTCAAGGTGCTTAAGTTGTTCACTGTTTCATTACTATTATTTGTACATCATTTGTATGATAAGCAATGTATAATTAGTATTCATATACATTGCTATTAAGATTGGCTGGTTTTATTTATTTTGTGGTAAGCCTAAACTTTCCTCTGTTATATTATATTTTTATTGAGTTCGAAAGTATCAAAAGATGACATTTCTACTGTCTTTTTGTTTTTGTTTATTATTTAATTTTGTTTTTATAGGAACGCATGGCAACGCGTTATGCTCGGGACACACACCATTACTGCCTGCATCTCGACGGGGGCTTGGTGATAGACGGACATCGTATGGGCGGCGACGGTCGTTTCGTTAACCACTCCTGCCGCCCTAACTGCGAGATGCAGAAGTGGACAGCCAATGGTAAGCTTGAAAGAACTAGATCCAAGTTGTGTGACATAGAAAGATAAAATGTCTGAACATGCATTATTAAATATTTATACAGTAATTATAGCTCGGAATAAAATAGAAACTTTCCATACACAGACATAAAACATGTGGATATAGTAAATTTGAATCTCCTTTTTAATAATTATTCGTCACTAATAGCTTATTTGTTGTATAGGTACGTTTAGGATGGCTCTATTCGCATTGCGTGATATAGAACCAAACGAAGAACTCACCTACGACTATAACTTTTCACTATTCAATCCTGCAGTTGGCCAGGTAAGTTTAATGTTTTATAACTCCATTTTTCATGCATAAGAAAATACATCTACTTTATTCTATTTGACCACATTATATTTGTATAAATATGACCGAAGATAGTAATAGCTAAAAACAATGTTATGTATTAAACCTCTTATATATAAGTTATAAAACTGTAATTACATAATTACTATGAAAAGTTAATCTTTTTTTTTATTGGTAATTTTTAGCCTTGCAAATGTGATTCCGAGGACTGTCGCGGCGTAATTGGTGGAAAATCACAACGTATAACCAAACAGCCGCTTAAGACCCAATCGAGAACGCCGTCAAATGCTTCTAATCAATCGAACAGCTCGAATGGAAACCAACCGCGCGTAGGCAGACCACGGAAAGCCGTCAAATGCAACAAGAAATCAGAACAAAGCAGCGTATCTGCTTGTGATATCAAGAACATGACTATATTAAAATATCAGCAGCATTTGAATAAACTGTGGCAGGAACCACAGTTGAAGCCACTCACTGCAAAGGAAAGGACTCTAGTCAAGGACCGACAGTGCTTCTTATTTAGAAATTTGGAACACGTAAGTTTATATTTACTACATCTATTTAATTTTTTAGGCAAACAAACCATTAGCCAGTATGATTTTTTTTTGTATATACAATATCCTATGAAAACTTAAAGACTTCAGAGGCCGTTACTGTTCATATTTTCATATATTGTAATTAAATAGTTATATACATTTTTAAGTATTTATTTTTAGTTTTTGTGTGTCATAGCAAACAAGACTTTTTCATTTTTTTATTTTACTTCATATCTATTTTCAGGTACGTCGTATCCGGGAGCGAATGACTCTCCAAATCCCTCCTTCACCATCGGCATCAACCTCCGCCCCAGCACCACCTCCTGTTCCAACCCCACCCATTCTCCCCCCAGTCCCAGATGTGATCAACGTTGACCCTCTCGCACTGCCGGACACAATGAACCCGCAAGTATTCCTCAAGAAACTGCAAACACTTAGAGCCTCTAAGGAGGAAATTTTACAACTTTCGAAACTAGAGGACGATACTACGTTGGATACGAAGCGGCGGTTGCTGCGAGTGTTCAAAGCGTTATTTAATATTATCGTTACTTTTAAAGGTTCGTTTATTACACTTAGAATATAACATGTACGATAAATTATCATAGTTTATAAATAAATACTTATAATGGTCATATAAATGGAAACAAATACCTTGGAAAAAGTATTTAAGAACATTATTTTATTAGTAATGTCTTAAACCTACGACAAAGGGTGTACCATGCTGATGGTTACCAATTGAGCTACCGCTGCCAACAATTATCTTATTTTTTGAATGTTTAATAATCCAAAACTATCACGGGCTCGTTGGTGTCATGGTAGCAATGTATGTACATTGTCTCCTACAACAAACCACTTGAAAACTTAACACCTGTCAAGGTTAATCGCGTTTCGAGTTCAGGCTGTGGATTTCAGAATATCCAACGCCAAAATAGGTCGATAGCGCGCCTTCCTTAGATGTTGGTTTGATATGGCTGGAGTATTTCACCTACCATCTGAATGCCATGCTTGGCTGTATCATAAAAAATATACACAATTTTATAATTGTTTTAGGGGATGAAGAGAAAGCATTATGCACGCCATTGCTAAAAATTAAGAGCCAGAAGTCAGATTCAACCGTCGTATCGGACTTGACTGCGATCCAAACGAAGATTGAGAACAACGACTATGAAAGCGTGGTCCAATTTGACAGCGATGTTAGTGGGCTCTTCTCAAGTCTTATGAGAGAGCACAGTAAGGTCACCGCTATCGGAGCAGCGGCTGCGCAGTTAAAGAAGGTAACAAATGAAAACTGTTTTAAGTTGTACACTGTTACTAAATTCGCTGATGAATGTGTACGTAACGGACACACGTAATAACAAATTTTCGACTCGGGCAGGAGGCTCGATTTTATTTTATTTATTTTCGATTTTTAAATTATATAGTGCCTTCATGTGCAATAACATGTAAAAAATATTAATGTTTTCAAAAGTAAAATAATATTAATCTTACTATTTCCAGATATACAACTCAGCCAAATTAGAGTTTACAGAGCATTTTATCAAGATTCTTGGGTCTCAAGACAGCTTGCCTTCCGGATTCATACAGAAAACTAAACCTGGTATGTAATCATTTGTTGACGACACGATACGATTTAATCGTGGTTCGAAATGATGGTTTCGGACGTCTCTTCTCGACCACTATTGAGAGAATCATGGGACATTTTGACTTTCATATAAAATTAAAATCGATTTTAGATAAAAATAATTACGACTCGGGCATGACTTTGACTACACAGCGTCCCGTGCTATTGCTCTAATCATTTGAGCTACCGTGTCCTACACGTCATCGTCTTATATTATAAGACACCAGTGCTTATTTTATTATTACACGTTTTTTTTATTCTAATCATGCTAAATGTTATATTTTTACCTTTTTACAGAAGAAGTGATTTTGTGCATCTGTGGTTTGCACGTCGAAGAGGGTTTAATGGTGCAGTGCGGTAACGCGCGTTGTGGCGTATGGCAACACGCACGATGTATGCGGCTTGCTGACACCAACTCTACACACTACTGTCATCTTTGTTCTACTGAGCCTGTAAGTAGTTTATGTTATTGGTTACTTTTTTAACTCTCCTCCATATATCTATAACAATTAGGCAATTAATTCCCCCTAAATGTATCCCCTGTATTTATTTATTGCAGCTTTGTTTATTTAAAGTTTTTCTGTTATAGGTGGATCGCGAAATTCCTCTCGACGAGTACACAGATGAAGGCCATCAATTCTACCTGTCGTTAATGCGTGGTGGGTTGCAAGTGAGGCAAGGCGACACGGTTTACGTACTAAGGGATATCCCAATTGATGAAAAGCACCCGGATGTAAGTCAAAAGACTGGGGACAAAACGGACTCACCGAAGACGAAACGAGTAGATAGGAAGAAACTTAAGAACATCAAAGGAAAAGAGAAAGAAGATACTCCACAGAATAAGGTAAGATACACAATATTTTGAATACATGATTCAAGTGTATAAATTTGAAAAAAGAACAGATACGATCACTCAAATATAAAATTTTAAACGGTGCCTGTAATTAAAGTTAATTAATTACTTCCCCAAAAAATTCTTAATAATCTGTGACTGAAATGTATTTAAATCGGTCGAAATGCGATTTATATTAAAAGTAAAAAAATATCCATAACTCTTATAAATTATATCGTCCTTCATCTACTTTCGTTATGGCGTATTATATACTTGAGATACAAATACTACATAATCTGTGATGTTTCAATTTTTAATCTACACTTCTGTTGTTATAACATAAAAAAACATCTGTCTTTTGTTCTAGCAGGATGGCGAAGTACGGAAGCATACTTACCAGACGATCGGCAGTGTACCCGTTTCTGAATTAGATATATTCCGTGTGGAGCGTCTTTGGAAGCATAAAGACACACAGGAGCGGTACGTGTACGGACACCACTACTTGCGTCCGCACGAGACCTTCCACGAACCTACCAGGAAGTTAGTATGCTTTAAATACTTTTAATTTAAAGTGTTATTGCTAATTATACACATTTACATTTCAGGTATGTTATATGGTACCAAATGCCATGTATTACAATGTATATTTGTATTTATTTTCTTATGTATTCCGCCTCGTTTAAATTTAGTTTATCTAATTTGGTTTTGTGTGTAAATTTTGTGCATTCTTGTTTTTAAGTTTGTATTGTTTAATTCGGCCACGTTGCCCTACTGTTTTTCTTTCATTTTGGAATGCCTGGAATAGATCGCTTTTCAGCGATTAGTATTCGTCCATTTTAGTAGTGTTATTCTTTTTATGAATTGAACAATAAAGTGTTCATAAATAAATATTTATTTTCTAGATTCTTCCACAATGAGGTGATGCGTGTCCCGTTATACGAGGCGGTGCCAATTGAGCTGGTTATGTCCCAATGTTGGGTTATGGACTTAAATACCTTCTGCAAGGTAGTTGGAGTTGATATTAGTTTTAAATCCTTAGTAATTTTAGACCTACCTCCTTATTTTAATGCTACTACCATATATAATAAAAGAATTCCATTTTTTAAAGTGACTGCACGGAAATAACTCTTTAAATAAAATATTACTACTTGTATAGGGCCGACCGGTGGGTGCATCTGAGGCGCACGTTTATATCTGTGAGCTCCGCGTGGACCGAACTGCTCACCTCTTCACGAAGGTCTCGCGGCCCAAGTACCCGCTGTGCACTAAGCCGTACGCCTTTGACCACTTCCCGCAGCGGCTCAAGATCTCCAGGACTTATGCGGTAAGATTTTGATATATATTTCTATTCTGTCTCTGTCTTCCTAAAATTGTCTATTAGTTTGTAGTCATCTCATACCTGAGAATAAGTAATAGTTTGTTTTCCATATTAACAGGGTCACACGAACATAAAAGAGTCTGCTACATTAAAACTAATTATTAAAAAAAAACAATATTACATTGCGCATTATAATTTTGATACACATAATACATAGGAACGTCGACAGACGCGTAAACTATAGACATACGTAGACAACAGTACGAGAGCTTAACTGATAGAGTTGCGCGGTTACGTGCGTCGTGGGTTCTATAATTTATTTAACTTTCATCGGATAGATATGAGTCAAATAAATTAAGGTCCTTATTTTTGTAGTGGTTTTATCAATACTTTTTGATTTACAGCCGCACGAAGTATTACCCGAATATCTTAAGGGGCGAGCTGGTAAAAATTTCTTTGGAGCACCGGAGAAACCTAAAACTTCTCAGGAAACAAAGAAAAAACCTGTGAATGCCATCGCTACTGTCAGCACCAAGGTATTTTACTCTAATTTACTATTTTTTAAAATATTTTGAGTAACACTTGCTAATCCACCATGAAGAGCCCTTAGATAAGATAAAGATTGGCATTTTATTTTAGGCCCTGACACCGGCGCAGCGTCGTGAACAGCAAAGGGAGCGTTTGAACGAGATCGCGCGCGGCTTACTTTCGCGGGGCGGCCAACGTGGCGCGGTGGATGCTTCTTATCTCCTGGCACCGCGTAACGTTCGCCGGCCACGCGCCCGCGTCTCCTGACCACCGCGTAATACCTGCCTCACGTGCACCGCATGATATCGACTGCGTAATAATTTTATAACAAATAGAACCTGTTTGGTAAAAGAACTCGTTCTGTGCGCTTGCGCATCTCACATAAGACTTAAACATGGAGGCTATACAATTGAGACGGTTTCAATCGCGCTACTGTTTGCCTAGCGTTAAAACTCCTATGGGGAAAATATAAGCGAAATTTCATAATTTGAGTCACTAACATGAAATTATAATTTTATCATACTGTTTTGTCTCTATTCATTTAATATACATCGCTGAAATAAAATACTAAATACGAATCACATTTTTGAAGTTTATCTATTTATGCGTATACCTATGGAACTTCTATCGTGATGCAGGCACTTATTAAATACTGATGTTTTAGTAAGGTCAGACAGACAGACTTAAGACAAAAAAATAAATAATTGTGGTGCTATACCATTCGATGAGAATACACATAAGAAACATTGACTGAAACGATGTAGTGTTATTGTGCAGGTAATTGTTAAGATGCCTTTAGTTATATTAAAGATTTGTAAATATTATGAATAAGGAGAGGGCATCTTATAAATACATTTAGCCCTTAATAATATATCGCGTTCTATTATGTCTTCAACATTGACGTAATAAAATGATTCTAATTTATAATAGTTAAGTGAAAATTAATTTTATCACATTGTAGAGTCTCGAAGATCATAGAAATCCGTGCATTTGTAAATATTAATTTAAATAGCTAAGCAACGTAGTATTTTATGAATTAAGCGTGTAATCATGTTTTCTTAATCACAATCACGTGTAAATACATTCTGCATGTTGTAGATTATACATTTACTGCATAATCAATTTTAAGTTTAGGAAAAACACATTACGTGTATAAATATTTTAAGGATTGTGTGTTAAGTACATTGACATTCCTTCGGGGTTGAAGATTCGTGACAATAAAAGGAATGCAATGCGCGTGCGCAACACGCGAATATACATCGCAAAAAGAATCTCTCGTAGCCTGTATATATCAGCTATACATGTAAAAGTAATATTTTTATAACGTAGTATTATAAATTGTGTTTGAAATCGGTTATAATGTGCTTTTTTTTGTGTGTTTTTTTTATTTATTTAAGTTTTCATTCTCCACACAGTAGCTAGTATATTTTAATCTCATTAGTTTCGTGCGCTTACGCGGTTTTACAGTACATATATTTCCATATTATATATAGATTAGTTATATATTTTTATATAGGGTAATATTGTTATAATTTATCTATTAGCATAATTAAATTACTAGACGACCAGTGGTGCGAACTGATGTTGAGAATTGAAAAGTTTTTATAGAGGTTAGACGAAGTTGTTTGGCGGTTGTTATAGTAATGTTAGTATTAATCAATTATTATTTTTCTATAATCTTCCGCTAGGTTTTGTTAAGAAGATTTATGGATTTAATATTTCGATTCTTTTTCTGGTCATTAATAATGTTTACAGTTAATGGAGGGAGCTAAAGTTATACAAACAAGCTTCTGTCGTGTATTAAAATCTCTCTATATTTTTACAATTCCTTAGTTTAAGGTGTATATAATTAAGCGATTTTGGTGGTTGGTTGTTTTGTTTAAGGATAAATTATAATATATTTGGTTGAGAGGTGACCGAGTGGATTGTCTTGCACTCTGTGGTACCCAAGTATGAGTTTAAATATTTATATATTTATATAACCCTTATAAGATGTAATTAATTTTCAAAACGCTAATATCCCTAAGTTTCTACCATCCCATAAGGTCTTGGCTGTCATGTGTTTATAGAGTCAACAAAGAAAAACCATTGGCAGTTTGATTTTTATAAACTTCGTAAGGGTATATTGTAGGAATCGCTGTGTAATTAATATTTCCTTTTTTATTGACTAAATTGTTATTACTTTGTCTACTTTGCTTTGAAGCATTCTAAGAGCCGTACCAGGGTACCCATATCTAGAAGCCTTGATGTGATCGTTCGTGAACAAATTGTTTTTGTTTCTAATTTATTTGTAAATTACTGTTAGCATTTTTAAAACTTTCTCCCGATTGGGTTGCATGTTTATGTTAAGAATGGTATTTTAATATTAAGATGCTTTTGCACTTATCGCTTTTTTAACAATGAATTTCTTATTGATCCCAAAACCCGAGAGACATTTTACAATATATATAAATATAGATTTCAAAGATTTTATGGTCTAAAACATTATAGTAGGTGAGCTATATAAGTTTGTGTGGTGTGTGTGTGACGACTCAAACTTACCTAGTTACTAAAAACGATGAGGATTAGATAGTGTTGACGTATGACGACAAAAGTATCGAAAAATTTCACGACTTCACAAAAACTAACTATTTCTAATTTAATATGGTAAAAAACTCATTAATACTACCAATAGCAAATCAATGTTAATCCAACTAAAGGTTACGAGCTCTTTTTTGAACATATTTTACTAAATACTAAAACCATTCCTTTTGCGTCGTACTTTTTCATGCCAATGATGTTAAAAATAGTTTTTGTGCGGTAGTGAAATTGATCCGTTTTTACCAGATTCTCTTGCACAAACAGCACTATACATTGCCTTGTAGTTAGGACACTGTTCATGTTTCACATACACATAATGTACTTAATTATTACAGAATAGATTCAATTGTCAATAACATAGACTGTAGTGTAGACTAAATTGCTTTCAGTATTGCAGATTTCGTAGTTAGCCCTAAGAGAACATATTTTGGGATCAAAATTATACACGTCAACGTTTCGGCAGACAAAATTAACCGTGTTTCACTTGAATCAAGTTTATATTTACGTATTGATTTGTCACTTTCATTCTGAACCGGTCTCACTAAACTTCAAACCTCTATTAATTTTGCCTTTATTCTTAATGTCTAATTTATTAACAACTAAAAATTGATTCAAGTGGAATGTAAAGAAATCAATTTATCGAGCAGCTTTACTATTTTCTAAGATTTGTTTTAAGATGCCATTTGTTGTAACTCATGTTTTAATATTAAATTAAAATTATTGATCAATAATATCGATCTTTTATTTGCAGTAAATCCTTATAGGGTAACCATATTTATAGGCTGATGGATCTGGAATGCCCTGGCTAGTTAACTACTGCGCAGTGTACGAACGTCCGAAGCCTTATATTGGTTTGCATTAACATTGACCTTAAATAACAATTTATGTTTACGATTTGTCCTGGCCCGTATGGCCCAAGTGGCTGGGGTCATTCCCAATGAAAAGATTAGGCCAGCGTCCGCCCGCAACCGCTTCAATTATAGTGCACTGGACCTGTTTTGTTTCGTGCCCATTTTGTATATTATAATAGATAATGCGCATTACACAAGACCACTGTACTTTTTTTCATAGCACGACAGACGAGCATGGGGTTCCCTTGATCGCACCTCGCAAAAAAAAATACTGGATCAAATGTTTTAAAGCAAAATTACTTAGTAACAAGGGTACGGATATGCGAACTTTTATCTACAGCCATTAATTTACTTGCAAAACGTTTTTTAACCAATAACATCGACGCGCGTGTAAACGGATGTGTCTGATGATTCGCAAATGTTTATTGTGATGTGGCATGTTTCTTCGCGTCTACATCTACGTAAATGTATAAATATTTCTAGGTCATGTCTTCAGGCTTTCCAAATATCTACCTTCAACCAACCTTGGTACAATTAACTAAATACTTATCACGAGAGATAATATTATGAATTATTTATAATGTAATAAAAGTTGCTTGTTAACTATTTTCCCAAGAAACAAATTCTGTTTTTCGATTTTCTTTCAACGTTTTCATATTTTTCTTATATATTTTCTATACGTTAAATGTGAAATATTAATTGATTAATTAGTTATAGTTTAAAACTCGAAATACACTAGTTCTATATAACTCTTTTACGTTCTTTCCATATAAAATCATTACTTCTTTTTAACTTAACTACGGCTCGACGGTTCGAATGATTCGCAACAGCCGTGATCACAGGGGGAACATGAAAACACTAACTTTAACACTCTTTGCGCTTTGTTAATACGATTATTAAATTGTTATTCGTTATAGTTTTCAAAATACCTATGAGGAACAAGGAAAACATTGGTGCCTACTTCCTGTTCTTTGTTGTATTTATCTCCTGCATCAAAAAATCTTCGAAATCTTATTTATCTACGTGTAGTGATAAAAAATCATTTTTCCCCAAATTCGATGTGTGTCAATAGATAAGTTAGATAAAATATAAAACAAACACACACTTATCTAAATTTTGAACTTATCGAAGACATCTCTATAAACAACGAATGTTCATATCAGCTGCCACATATTAAAACTATTTTAAACTATCTCTTTTTCGTCTATTTTAAGATTTTTCGATAAAATCTATGTCTACTATCCTCGAAAGGATTATAAAGTTCAAAACCGTGTCTCCGTTAAAGCCATATTATATACTCGTATCCTAACAAGATGTGCCTTTGGATAGCCGGAAATCCACAGACTGAAACCGAAACGTGACTAAACTTTACGGTTTTCCATCTTTTGACGGTGTTTCGTGACCTGGACGGAATTTGGATCCTACCATCTATTTAATACAGATTCCAAACGAGCTCTAATATAACTCAAAAAAGTTATAAATTAATTACAAACATGTTGGATTCGATGGCAATCGAACCCACGATCCGAGGATTATTAGCTATTCATTTTTTCTATTAGACCATCGAGCCCGTTAGTAAGGGCGGAATTACTTTTTTTTGTTTTGTTTTTTCACCATATAACCTCTTTGGTAGCCATGTTGCGAAATAGAAAAGCGTTCCATTTATAAATTACACGATAAATATAATTTTACATACAATTATACCTTGCTGTTCTCGAGTACAGCAAATTTCATTTATCCAAGTTTGATGGAGAAAAGCCATTTTAAGTAATCTATTACCTCCGCAACACGTGGTTACAAATCATCTATTTATGCCTACGATAAAAATCGAAATTGTATCAAATATGTGTATTGTAGTTTGTGATGTTGTCCGATGAATTGTTGGCAGGATGACTGTGTAATCCCGCGCTATTATTTTGTCAGTGGCTACGCTCACGGCTCACTGCCCTCAGCACAAGTACACGCATTGTATCACGAGACACACGTTGACCCACGAAAAGCATCGAGTATTTATTTTATATTGCCTTACGCAATCGCTTATTTGAATATCACTCGCGCGAAAGGGATGAAAACGGTGGTAGCGCACATAAGGCTCGGTCTAGATAAAATTCGTCGTTTACTACTAAACACAAGCAATTATCCATACTGTTGCCGAAAGGAAGCTATGTACATGTAAGTACCTCTACTTATCTACTATACTTTTAGGATCCTCACTGCTAAGCTTAGTTTTTGGTATTATACTACTATACTAATATTTCAATTCCCTATGTGGGAATAAGGGAGACACTCACATTTCTAATCCTAACGTTGTATGGCTTATAATCGACAGTTCGTGAGTTCGATCTCCACCGAGTCCCACGTGTTCCTATGAATTAAAAAAAAAATCTAAAACATCTTGGACGTCCGGAAATTTGTATATTAAAGAGACGGTAAGAATACCGAAAGTCCATCCGGATCACGAACCACCGTTTACAGACGAAAAGTAGATTTCTGAATATCCAAATCCAAAATAGTCCATCTAATTTATATGGTATAGTGCTGAGGTATTACACTTTCCATCAACGAACCCCATACTTGTCCTCATCATAATAAAAGCAATTCTTTATCTGATTCGATAATTGATTGATATTAAGTCAGTAAAAATCAGGGTAAAACATAACAAATCATAACATCTGCTATCATTTCATAGAATTGCTTTAAAAGTCACATACCTACTATGGCGTTGATTTCAAAAATGTTATCGTGTATCACCAACTTATATAGTTAGGATCTTATTTTAGAAGTAGAGCTTTAATCTTATGCTAGAGTAAAGTTATCGATTTACAAGTAGAAGTCCCATTTTCAGAATGATCCTTGTCAAAATAATGAGAGAATAGTTTGCATATTTGTAGAATTAGTACCTATACGTATTTTGTATTTGTTGCATTTTTTATTTAGATTCAGTCCCTAAGCCTTTTATTTCGTGTTCCGATTTTGGAGTACGTAATTATGTAACATAAACAATTAAATTACTGTAACTTAGTCCTTATACATTTATAAGTCGAGTGAATAAATAATTCAAGGTACCTATAACCTACTTATTGGGTATAAAATAGATATGTTTGGAAGATCTATTACTAAAATACCTGTAACATGACCTAAATCTATAACACTAAACCGATTATCGTAACGATGTACATGGCCATAGTTAAAATACTATAAAACGAATACTAAAAAACAAGTAACTACGTAGTCTTAATAGGTTAGTATGAAATAATGAATTTACTTAAATATATTTATAACTCTAGTTCGTTGCTCCAATGGTAGCAATAGATAATAACCAACGGTCTGTGGGTTCGAATCGGCCCTAACATATGTATCTAATTTCTTCGACATAATTTTAGGTTTATCTGAAAAATCTTGACATTACCTTTAATTGTAGGAATATATGATTTAAAGTCGTGTTTCGGATTTATGAATCTCCTAATCAAAGGTTTACAACGCATCTTATCAATGCTATATATTACCTTCCATTAACTAAACTTCATGATTCTGTATCGTTCGTCGACGTAAAAAATAATACCAAACTAATGTCTTGTAGAAAATGATTATATGACTATACAAATTGCCTGTTCTTTTACAACTTACTTTAATATTATGGTCATCTACATACACAGATAATTATGGCCCAACAATCAAAACTCCACACACACATAATATAATCTATCCATTGTTAAAACTAGTAGAACAATAAAAGTTCGTTTCGTTACTAACTTTATTCTATTTGGAAACACTGATCTAATTATCCATATTAAATTAAAGATGTTTCCTCTGATGTATGGAGCGTCCATCTTTTAGTGACCGTTTCCTTGCTCGGTTTTATAGGCATGTAGTTGACCCAATGTCTGTGCTCCAACCGGTTAAAACTCAAAGTCTCCTGTGACTTACTCATACCAAAACTGTACTGTTTTTCCGTGATTCGATCCTGGTAACCTACGCCAGTCGTTTACCCCCTGATCGGGGTCTTGGGTACCCTTAACATAATACGTTTATCCAATAAGCCATGCAGGCAGTCATTGTGCGCATTAAATATTTTAATAACACACTTTAAACGGTTTAAAATGCGTTGTATATTAGTCAAATTATTTTAAGTACTCCCGTAACCACGTATTCCTCCCAAGTAATATGCCTCCTGCAAAGTATTCGAAACGTCGGACCGTAGTTAAAAGAAATGACAGATAAGTTGAGTAATAAATTTCGTGTTTTAATACGGTAAAAATGTTTTATTTGAACGTGTACTACTCGCGCAAAGTTGCTATATCATTTAATAGTCATTTTAGAGTCATGGTGCCTTGAATGTCAATCTTAAAGTGTTTATTCTGTGAATACAAACTACAGTATGAAATTTAACTGTTTATCACAGCTTTATTATAAGTATTGTGTGCTCTCCGCTTCTGTAGGTTTAAACTGTAAGCGCGAGAGGACTTGGGTTCGATCCCAGGGAAACCTTATAATTTGGGCCTGGTAGGCCGTAGGAATATCATCAACTGTATGTAAATAAAATTGATCAGTGAATCAGACACATAATTATGTCTACCCCATGTCTCACATAATAGGAAGGAGATTACATACCTTGATATCTAAACTACATATATAACATGTATTATAGATGTATAATATATAGTAATAACTAGTTATATAGTAATAACTTTATTATTAATTTATCATTGTCAACAAGTTATATTTTGTACTTAGAGGGCTGTAGGTTAATGCTATTATTTCAGACTTACAAAGTAAATACTACTGAGGTGTAAATAACACAATAATACATTAATACTTAAGATGAAGTTTTGTATTTAAACTATTATTCTTCGTCCTTTAATTTAAAGTCCTTTGATTTACGCTTCGTCCGCGAGAATCGTTATTTTGGGCATCCAAATAAGTTTTAACAAATCCCGTCACCTTTATAAACTTAAGCTGTTAGCTACACATCGATCGGGTCCCTTTCCGTATTTTGCAGTATTTTAAAAGTTCGGCATATAGCGCAGGGACTTGTTGTGGAAAGCGGGTCATTTATAGGGAAATAATTCTTTCATATACAATTTTTAGATATCTGGAACCGTTTTCGCAGCGTACGCATCTGAAACCTACAGAGATAAAAAAATTCCCCATATTGTTCACATTTCTCGCTGTATTTTCGCTCCTATTAGTTACATCTCAATGTTTTAAACTATAACCTTCCTTAATAAATGCTCTAACCAACACAGAAATAATTTTTCAATTCGAACCCGTACTTCCTGAAATTAGCTTTATACATATATTAGATTATCATTAATTTTTGGGCTTCGTCAAAGAAAATATAAATGTATATTTATTTTTTAAATCAAAAAAAAGTTACCTACTGTTATTTGTGTTTCGAGACTTCATAAGTTGAAAATCAAAAAGGGCATCAATCTCAAATTGTTTGATCTAAGTACTGTACATGTCTAGATACAGATCTCTTAAGTGATCTAAAGAGAAAATGTTTTTCCCAAAGTATTATTATTTTTTTACTGGCAAGTGATAGCGTATCGGTGGCTTTGATATATATTTAAATAAATCACAGAACATCAGTTTGTGGATTTCCGAATATCCAAAGCCGAAGTCATTTAGATGTTATATGACTGCCCCATTACTATAGTTGAGGTCACGTCCTGGAAAAATGTGATAAGTAGTTTCAGTTTGGCAAAGTACAGAGGACTTTGCCAAACTTTGCCCTTTACACAAAGAATTGATGAGTAAAACACGGAACTGTGTCTGTAATTTCACTAATATGAATCAAAATAATACATATCGTATAATATATAGTCGTTCGTAAAGATTTGATCTATTATGTGAAAATGTATCATTCATATACATTATATTACATTCCCCATACTCTGCGCAAGCGCAAACGGACGCAATGAATGATGGCCGAAATCGCAAGTCGCAACCGGAACACTTCATAGTATCGTTATTGATAAATTGCCTCTGCGTCAATTTTCCCCTGTCCAATATGTCGCTTGACTGCATCCACTCTGTAAAGCACTCTTTAAAGATGTGTGAAGACAAAAGTGTATATGAAGTGTGAAATTCTAGCTATTTCTAACTGTTATATAGACAATTTCGAATTTACCGCCACTTTTTAAATAAATATACATATTTATAATACCAGGATACCAGATACCAGGATCAAGTGAAAAAACCTTTAATTTAATTTTGTCAACAATAGATACAAGTAAAAAGAGGGTATTTTATTCATGTAGATACGTAAACGTACTGGACTTCAAAATTTCAATTCTAAATGTACACTTGAAGAACTTAACAAATAATAATTTATAAGTAAAATCATTAGGGTCAATTCTTGGTCCACATAGCTTTTGGAAACAGCTTAGTATGGAGTGGTGGAGTCATGGGGTCTGCCTCTGTAATATATTTTAATAATATTATTCAGAAGCATTCATACTGAGGTTTACGCAAGTAGTACACATTTAATTTAAACTTTTAACGGTTTAAAACGCGGAATGCTTAAATTGCTGGAAATCTTTTCAGGTGAAAACGCTTTAACAATAAGCTTGACATAAATACTAAAACCTTTATTTTGTTTTACCTCTTATATATTTTGTAAGCATTAAAATCATTTTAACAGTATAATATGCGCATTAGTTAAAGCTATATTATTAATACGAAGCAACTGGATAAGCGAAGCCTTTTGACGTATTCCGTGACGACTGTCCCAAATCCGAGTACACTTGAGTTAAGCCATGAACATTTGTATTGAGGTGTCAAAATTAGAATGGGTCATGACTAAGGGTAATCTTATCTTTAATGACAAACAGATACACATTGCTACTAAACCAATAAATAAATAGTACAAGATGTACTATTTTATAAAAACAATTGATATTTTCCTCGTTTCAACTTCTTCGTTCCGGGCTCGTGTAATGGTAGCAATGTAGAGCTCAACGGTTCGTGGGTTCGTGGACCAACATTTTTCTAATCAGTTTATAATTTTTCTGAAACATGTTATACTTCGTCTGGAAATCTAGATTAAATGGGTGGTGGGAATGTAGAAATTCAGTCCGGGTTTGAACCACCGTGCACAGATGAAAAGCCGTGAAGTTTAATCACACTTCGGTTTAAGTCTGTGGACTTCCAAATCCAATGCGAAATAGGACAGCGTATCTTGTTTAGATGTTATGTTTGCGGTACTTTACCTGCCATCAAGTCTCTTAAAAAAACTAACGTCTTGAATTCATTATAAGTCTACGTCGTAGTACTTTCTACGAATAACCAAATCTAATTGAGTTCGACTTCCACGATTTCATCTATATTATTATTAGAACAGAATATTTATCTTTTTGCCAACTGGAAACATTGATACTATTTTTAATATGTTTAAAGCGAAAATACGTTTATACGACGTTCAATGCCAGCACGGCATGGCAAATAAATTGATTACTTACCAAGTTGTCTTGAAATTTATTTCATTTAGATTTATATTAATTTTTAATCTTAACCTACCCAAAGCTCAAAACTATTAAATTTCCACGGAAATCGAACACACCTTCACGGGGAAAGACACGTGACCACGGTTGCTGCAAAGCATCCTTTTTTGAAATTTTGAAGAGTACGTAGGGCCGAAAGTTAAATATAATTTTACAAATAAGTTTATCTAATATACCGTGTTTTAAACCGTTAAAGTATTTTATTTAAATGTCTACTACTCGCGTAAATTATCGTCATGTTATGTTTTTTTAATGGAACCGAAGTCGTGGGTGAATCAAATAATAATTGATAAGTTCAATAAATTTTCAATGTGAATTGTTCTTCCACTATTTAACCCTGAAATATCACATATTCTGCCTCTGGTTCCGGAAATAACACATTCAATTTAATGTTTATTATTTACACTATAATTGTTTTGTATCAAGTCAAGTCAAGCCAAAAACCATTTATTCATCTAGGTAACTATGTCCACTTCTCAACGTCACAAAAAAATTTTAAAATCTCACTTTCCTTTCCCCCCCCCCCCCCCCCCCCGCGGGGCGGACCCGACGAGAAGGGCCCCCACCCCCCCCCCCCCCCCCCCCCCCCCCCCCTCCTTTTTTCCCCCTTTTTTTTTTTTTTTTTCCCCCCCCCCCTTCCCCCCCTTTCCCGGGGGCCCCCCCCCCCCCCCCCCCCCTTTTTTTTTTTTTTTTTTTTTTTTTTTTTTTAACCCCCCCCCCCCCTTTTTTTTTTTTTTTTCCTTTTTTTCCCTTTTTTTTTTTTTTGTGGGCCCTCCCCCGGTTTTTTTTTTTTTTTTTTTCTTTTTCTTCCCCCTCCCCCCCCCCCTCCTCCCTCCTTTTTTTTTTTTTTTTTTTTTTCCCCTTTTTTTCCCTTTTTTTTCTTTTTTTTCTTCCGCTTTTTTTTTTTTTTTTTTTTTTTTCCCTCCCCCCCCCCCCCCCTTCTTTTTTTTTTTTTCTTTTTTTTTTTTTTCCTTTCCTTTTTTTTTTCCCCCCCCCCCCCCCCCCCCCCCCCCCCCCCCCCCCCCCCCCCCCCCCCCCCCCCCCCCCCCCCCCCCCCCCCCTTCCCCCCCCCCCCCCCCCCCCCCCCCCCCCCCCCCCCCCCCCCCCCCCCCCCCCCCCCCCCTATGCTCGAATAAATAAAAATACCGGAATTAATGGAAATCAGAAACGGAACTTACAAGTCTTATTAATAATTTAAGTCTAACTATTTTCAATGTGGATTAAGTTGATAAAATGAATTATATGAAACATTAAGTATTGTCTGTAGACAAGACAAGTACGGAAACACTTAACGGTTAAAAACGCGTAATATAGTGGTTAACATTTCTCTATCAGTCATTAAATGGAGTTTTTTATTATGCAAGTGTTTGATATCAAATAAACATACACAACTCCAAAGATGATATTTATATTAAACAGTAAAGCAGAAAAGTATTTTATACATAATATAAAAATAAAAAACAAATGAATGCTAAGATCTCCGTTTATGCTAAAATTACTTATTTTAAACCTCTGCCTGAATACCCTCATGAAAGTGGAAATTTAGTTTAAGCTATTTACTATAATTATAAACCATGAGTGATTACATATTACTGCTTTTTGTATTAGACTCTAGACTTTAGTTCGTTTCAATTCTTAAGAAGATTTGTATGTTACCTATATACATAACAAAGGACAATGTAATTATTCGTTTATTACCTACCTACTTTACTTTCCTTCGAGCGCAACGATAGTATAATCATATAAGCTTTGACATAATCACTAAATCTCCAAAACGTCATAGCTTATTTGCCATGTATTGACTATTTTAAGATTTTATCTAAAGTGTTTGCACTTTGATAGCTACCAAAATGTTAAACTAATAGGCTTAGGATACATGATATTACAACAGCATGCTTTTCCTATGAAATAACAATTTATCATCTTCAGCGACAAAGCTGGTCAACTTAACAACCTCCGCAGATGGGCAACGGGGAGGTGGTCAACAATTTTTTTAAACTGATGACCGATCTATTGTTTTCACCAATTGAAAATAGTAAGTTATCACCTCTAAAACCCTTCTACTGGACGAAGTCACTCAAACCTCGGCCTTGGGTCCTCTCATGAGGTCTACTTAACGATTCCATCGGGTCATCCATCCACCATGCTACAAGTTTACCTTGACAGGGCAAAATAATGTTATATCCTTATTTTTTTGATATCTCTACATTAAGCTTCCATTATAGTTTTAAGAAGTGGTTAAAAAATTTTCCACTATCAGATAATAATGTTTTTTATTAACTAGATAATCGAAAAGTTGCACACAATATCCCCTTATAGGTTCAAAACTTTCACTTGACTCTTCGGAGGTTTTTCACTAGGATCTTATTGTTTTTCGAAGCCATTTCTCATAAGTCAATCGTTTTCCGGAACGCCGCGACTTCTTGATCAGCGTTACTTCTTGAATCCTTAATCAAATACTTAATATTTACGTGTTTTCGCGTCGTATTTGCGATAAGATTGTGCCTGTTGACTTGACGAGGCCCGTCTTTGATATATAGCTTGATGCTGAAACATTCTATTCACACTCGTTCGAGTGTTACTCCGAGCTACCTACTAAGGTTCATCTCATTTTGTTTCACTAAATCTTCGTTCATAGCCACCTAGTTGGCGGAACATTCATACCTCATAAACGAGAAAAGAAGAGGCACATCAGACCGACCGGTAAGTGCTATTTTTTAGTAGTAAACATTTAAATAGTAAAAGGTTTTTTAAATAACCGAGACTACGGCAGCTTCCAAGCATCAGAAACGTAGCATCTTATTTCGAATAAATTAACTAATTTATTTCGTGTTTGATACCGTTAAAATTATTTCCATGTGTAAACTACAGATATTACTACATCTTTTAATAGTAGTATGTAGAAAGTCAACTGTTTTTTCCCTCTCGAAAATGTTTTTAATTTATTTCGTTTCAAAAAACGTTTAAAGCCAAAAGACACTTTGTAGTCGAGGCATTGAGTGTTGCGTTAATTTGCAAAACACGATCCTCCACCTCAAGCTGTGGACAACTCAAATCACTACGTAGTTATTAACACGCAAGTCTGAAGCCTAGATTGCAAGCCTTTGTTAAATATGTTAGCCTTTATCAATTTAGATCTTAATGTTATTGTAATCTTCCATGATTCACGTCAAACCGGGACGGCCTTAGTCTGACCTAATTTGACAAACGTTTACTGTTCATCAACGTTATTATTTCATTATCATTGTAATGATGTACGTCTTATTACAAAAAGCACTATTTAGTACTGGAGATTATTTGTGTATTTTGCTTTAAAAGCGTATCAGTCAAAAGAGCGAGTATTTTTAGAAAGATTAATTACTTCCATTGACAGACGAGTCACTGCGTAATTCTTAAAGAATGATTTTAAAAATTTTAGCACAGTAATTTTATGAAATTATCTCTTTATTTGCGGCATGCGGAGAAAGTTGTTCTAAAATTTAGAGTCGCGCCTGGTTTTCTATTACACAGGTCTGCTAAAATTGTGTGGAGATTAAACAAATATTTCATATATAAATGCTTCGTCAAGTACGACCGATGAAAAATTAGATAAATCACTGATCAATGAGGCTGGATGGATGGAGGATATTATTTTTAAGTTATTATCATCTACCTAGATGCATTCCAAAATATCACACAATCGATGCAAAAGGCAGGATGATCTCCTACATCTTATAAACAAATTAATTGAAAACCCAACTGTTTCTTATTCTTTCTTATCACAGAACTCAGGTAACACCGCGGGATGCCATTAGTATTCTCTATTAGAGTCTACCTAACATGCATGACGCGTAACATTGTTAGATGTCACAGAGTCACGTTAGGTGTTTGCTTCACAAATTTACTTTAGATATCACCTGTTGACTAACAGTTCAGTAGTTGACAGGATCCTCTAGAATGACGAGCGCATGAATGGTGGCTGCTTAAATATAAACAACGATAATATCCTATGATCTCTCTGTCAATATGTATTTCGACATAAAACGAAGGTAGTGGTCTCGACGCAAGCGCAAATACATTTTCAATGTTGCGAATCAGGGTTTAAGTTCGGTTTGCAGTAAATAAACTGACCACATTCTCGTTAAACGCTTGCGTAATGAGAATTTTAGGCAAATTTTACTTGTTATTTCGTTTAAAATACGTTGTGTAATCGGGGTCAAAACAATGGTAATAAAGAAAATAATCCCTATAGTTTACGCGAGTAGTACACATTGAAATAAAACAATTTAACGGTTAAAAACGCGATATATTAGTTAAACTTATTTGAAAATGAATTTTACCAATCATCGTTGTTAAAAATCCTTTTCAAATATGTTTAACTAATGTATCGCGTTTTATTTTATGTTTTATTTAAAAATAATGAAGAAGTCCTCTAATTCCTTTTAAGGAATATAACTGGTCGATTATAATAATAAAAAATTAATAATATCTCGTATTCACCTTCAATCTTGCTCTAAGTAATTTGTAGATGTGACCTTTTTATTTGTTTGTTTTTTTTTTATACTTTTTGACACTACTGGAAGTAGTGACGTTATATTATATAATTTACTTATAAATAAAAATTGTCTGAAGGCATTATTATTAATTCGAAATGCTAGGATAAGATCTAGCAATCTTTATGGCTATTTTAAAAAATGATCACGAAATACTTTGACGATTTTAATTTTTTACTTGTTAGGCGAGTACAAAATAATTATCCGCATACAATTTTAATTTTTCTCGATTATTCATTCGGTGCATTGGTCATCGAATACAAGACTAGTTTTTCTCTATAAATCCAGTTTGCAAAGCGAATCCATTAGCCCCGATAATCATTCGAAGACAAAGAGGTTTTCGTCCCCAATTTAGCAAGATGTGGAGAAAGTAACATCAAATTAAATTTCTATCGCTAATTTTTAAATCGGTAATAAGTACCTAGTAAATTATATGCTCTCTTTTACTCAAATGTATTAAGACTAAAACTCCATACATAAATTAAGCTATTTAAATAATCGTTCTAGGGTTAATCAGTGAATTTATCTTTACATATTATATCTTATACTAACTACTACAAAATTTTAATATGAATAAAACGCACAGAGGGAAAGACACAATTCTACAAAAAACAAGAAAAGCTTTTAAATGACTACGCCAGTGGCCAGCTGCAACTTTTATGAATATTTAAATGTATAACTAAATAAAATCATATGATATTTAATCTAATGTTATAAAGCTGAAGAGTTTGTTTGTTTGTTTGAATGCGCTAATCTCTGGAACTATGGAGTCTAATTCTTTTTGTGTTGGTTAGAGCATTAATCTAGGAAGGCTTAAGGTTATAAAATATCACGCTGCGACCAATAGGAGCGAAGAAACATGGAAAATACGGATACATTATTCATTTAAATAAAGTACTTTAACGGTTTAAAACACGATATGTTAGTTTAACTTATTTAAAAAACGATTTTTAACTTCGGATCGGCGTTTCGGATGCTTTGCAGCAGCCGTGTTCACGGGGAGATTGCTGTTCAGATGCTTTTGCCTGATTCTTTCGGATGCTTTGCGGACCTGGCTGCTGGAAAGCATCCATTAAGTTTTACTTGCAAGAACGACGAGCCGAACCGATCGTGGATAACAGCTATAATTTATAAAAATGAGGAGCAAAAACAAAATGTGACACCCAAAATAACTATTCTACGCGGACGAAGTCTCAGGCGCAGCTAGTTACTAATATAGTCATACGAAATGTCAGTTCTCTTTATACAGTCTACATAGATCTATGAATGCAGATAATTCAGCATCACCTTCACCTTGAGAGACCGGTCTACGTCTACTCATTCACGAGGCACCTTCGGAGGTCAGCTCGATTGATTACTTTTAAATCAGTGTCGCATGCGTACGCGCCGGTCATTTCCTACCTAAACTTGATCTTGCAACTGACAGAAATTAAAGGGATTTTATAAAAATCGAAATAGTACTAAAGACAGCGAGTCCTCTAGTTGCTAAGCTGGACAATAAAATTATTAGTTACTTTATTTATCTATGAATTTTCATAATATTTATTAAAAATAAACACTGATAACATATAGTGGCAGTTTCCACTATCTTAGGTTTTAAAGAACCTCGTTGCCCATATAAAGGCATATTTCCGCACACTTCGAGTTCAATACACTTAGCAACTTCTGTCATATATTTTTATATATATGTATACATGCTATTATTGTTTTTTATAAGTTTTTTCATCGGTAATACCCGTCGAAAAGGAACGGTACGTACAGTTTTGTAAAAATGGCCACATTTTAAATAAAATTTAATTAAAGCAAATTGTTATATTATTTTTGTTCTTGAAATTTAACCTTATTTTAATAAGTAGATAGTTTTAGAATCCGTCGAAAATATTTTTTAAGATATTGGGAAAATTTTATTTAATTAAAAACTAATTACTCTGAATTCTTCAAATTAGAGTCTTCGTGTGATTAAAATCCATTTCTATATTGGTAATTAGAAAAACATTCATAGTACAATGCAACGTGCAAACGGATATAAGTCGGTTTTGATTTCGTAATTGTTTTGATAAGCAACCCTTTGTTCGACATTGCAAGGCTACAATAGCACGTATCCGAAGTTCGAAGATAATACTTCTAATTAATAATTATGTGTTTATTCATCATTTCAATTTAGGAGAAAAAACAGACTAGAATTCACATACATTTTTATTTAGACGCGTTGTATCAAAAGATACGCAAAGTTAAACATACTGTATATGCATATGTAACAGGTGGGGCGAAGAATGAATAGTTTTAGCATGGTTTTAGTAAGGAAGCAAACGGTAGCAGCTAGAGCCTTATTATTCACATAAGCCAACGCGACCTCACTTTGATAACACGTCTCAATTATCGAACTCCGAAATAAAAACGCGCGCGCAGTACTCCGGGGTAGAGTTGCACGAAGCATATATAGAACGGAAAGCACTCTATGCAGTTTCAAAGGATTCAGAGTGAAGTGAAATGGTTACCAGTGATTTTTGATGAACGATCGATCGAGTACTTGAAATGCTCAAAATTTATTTTCGACGCTAAAATTATACGCGGGTTTGTCTGTGACTGGTAAGAGATTTAACTATTATTAACATTCATTAGAAGATAGTTCAGAATATTTTTTATTGATAATTGTGATGACGGAGACGATTGGAGGCTGCTATGGCCCAAAAGGGTTTGGTGATGTTTATCATAGATTGGTAATTTGCGTGTGAAAGTCAGACAAAAGAATCAAGTAATTATGCTACACCATTGTTTTTGCATTATATTTTTAACTTTGCGGGTCCACCAGCGCTTTTTGCGTAACTTCTAGTTATTTATTTGTTAAAAATAATATCTTTAAATAATGCATTTAGTTGAACCATTAAAGTTAAAGGCAATAACAATATTTTTTTTAATTAAACATAGTTATTATTTCTGTACGTTTGTATATCAATTTTATTTTACGTTACCAAGATTGCTCGATAGACACATATATTTCGTTAATTTGTCCAAATTCATTAACACTCGGTTAGATTTTAAATAAAAATCATAAATAAGGTTACTACAAAATGTAGAGTTATTAATTTCTTACTGTTCCTAATGGTACTAATGCACACCTATGTTTAAAACTTATTTAATCTTAATATTCACAATTATATAAGTCACAGTGTTTAACGACATTATGCATTTTTGGTAATTATTACTGCGTAATAAATTAATAATTTCAATATTAAAGTTATATAACTATAATTAATGATTTATACTAATGGAAATAATGCAATTATAATTAAAACGTAATCCTTCGTCCCTAACATAACTTATCAATAATCAATATTCAATAAACTGTAATTGATATAGTTTTAAAAGTTATGTTAAGTTATGTATAACATATAACGCAATAAATCATTTAATTATTATTTTAATTTGTAAATTAATGCATTATGGAAAATGTCAGGAAAACAGGCGCTTTACATATTTCTTAACTGGTTAGTTATTGTTTATGAATAATTACGAATATTAAAGTTATTCGTATAAAAATTAAAATTGCTATTTAAAAGATAGTCTTCCTATTTACTTTAATCAAAGCCCTATTTATTTCCCACCTTTTAGTTTGTACACCTTTACAATTGCTAATCTACTGACGCAATAGCCGAACAAAACATTTTTTTATATATATTATAATTAAATAAAGTTCCTAAATACATTCGGAATTAATTTCTGGAAAGGATAGCTAGGTAGGTATCTCCATTCTGAGTAAAATACAATTGTAAAAATAAGATCTAACAAAAAAATGGTAAACAATAATTATGAGATTTTCTGATTTTTTGGTAAGTAATTATTATTTAAACTATTACTATTACTTAAGCATGAACAATTAAGTAAATATTTTTAAAATTACTGTCTCGTATTGTTAGCTGTTCTTACTAAATTGCATGACGCATTGGCAATTTACATCTTTTATGATGCTAAAAGAGCAGTCAAATATTATAATTATACTTGGAAACCATTTTTGTCTCGTACCTATATAGTCTCGACAAAGCGCACTTGCGTTTTTTTTAATCGTAACTTTAAATAGATTTAAACTCATTACATAGATTTAAACATTATTACATAGGTAGCAAGTTTAAAATTCGCTTTAGGTTTTAATTCTTAATATTTTCCATTTAAACTTTTTATTATGAACTGCTTAAAAATATCTTAATAAAATCTCTACTTTTGATAGTATGGTACGTAACGGGTGCACTTTCAGTAAGTTAGTTAAAAATCACGTTTACACAAACACTGCCAATGACCTTGGGTATATTATAATATTAACAATTGTTTATATAAAATCCACTGATAAAAAATTAGAATAATTAAGTTACGCCTATGCTTTTCTTTATAAGTTATATAAATTTTCCTCGTGTTCCGTTTAATTTGAACACCACAATAGAAGTAATACAATACAAATAAATTGCACTTGAATTCGTTACGAATGTGAAATAATAGTTACATTAACCTTCAAAATTAAACAAAAGGCTCTTTATTACAATAGGTATGCGTATATTTTGACTGTTTAATTCAAGTAAATCTTGTAAAAAATAGTAAATAACGTCTAGCCCATCATGATGACTCTCGTGCATTAAATTAAGGGCGAGAGGTCCTGGGTTTTAATCCTGGGGAAAAATAGTAATAACTTTAATCAAAAACAGTTTTTGCCTTAGCGCAAATAAAAAACGGACCCGTTTATATTATTCAGCTGTCCGACAAATAAATCTGTCTTGCTTTACAATCACTTCCTGCACTCAATTGTAGTACAGGGAAGAACATAGTAAAAATTTCATTACAAGAATGATTCACACGATGTAGGCGATGTTATGATGATGTACGATAAACTACTTTGTAATTGAATGGGATGAGTTGTTTATTTTTCTTACGATTTTTATCAACTAGATTGAAATACCTGTCCTGTACAGGAAACGTCAAACATGCTCCTTTTACAGTTAATTAACATTTTACGAATGGTAATTCTAATGAATTGAATATATTGAGCATTTTAAATAGTACCTGGTATAACACTTAGGTCGCTCGCCGTAGTTTTTGCGTCTCTTAAACAACATACGACAGCATGAGGTTCGCTTGATGGTAGGTACATCATAACTATATACGCTATCGATCTACTTTGGCTATTGATAACTGGAACTCGTGAGCCGGACGGAATTTCGGTCGACGAAATAAGACATGTTTCAGAAAAAATATAAATTATTTAGCAACACGAAGTACTTGGTGGGGAACGAACCCGCGACCATTGTTACCATTACACCAACGAGCCCTTCAGCATTGTTGCGGGTAGGAAAAACAAAAAACCTATATCATCGAAAAGGAATCAGAAAATAATAGATATTGCTTGCTTAGCATAATCAGTATTTTTAATATGGGAAAAAAATATTTGCGCAAGTGTCTTTTAAGAAACGGCGTTTCCTAAAAATTGACGAGGTTTTATTTGTCTACGGCTTGTCGTATCTGGCGCATAATACAGTTATTCGAGCTCACACAAAATTCACACAATAAACGCATAAGTAATGAGAGCTATAAACATTGCAATTCCGATATTTAGTTTTACGTGCAGCTATATAAATTGGTAACGAGTATTGTAACGGAACTGTGACCGCTGAGATTCTGGTTTTGTTTATATATTAAATTTATTTGACAAAAATTTTTAGGACGAACACATATTTTATTCTTCATTCGCGTGCGAACCATGTAGTAAAAGGCAGGATGGTTGAATTTACTGCTTTTACTCATTTATCTTTGCTAACTTACGGTATATTTAAGTAACAAAACAACTTTACCCCTTTATCACTTATATAAGCAAACAAATTTATATTTAAAAAATATTTAGTTTAATAATCCACAGCGACCCGTGCTACTACTTATACCGTAAGCAGATTTTAGTAAAAAAAAACTAGTTAAATCGCGTTTTAATCAGGTATATTTTTTATATAAACAACGCTAATTGTCTATTTTGTTTTATGTTTCTTTTCGCTATGACTATTTTAAAACACTACGTAACGATATACGTCGCACGTTTATATTTTCTATATACTTAACTACAAATTTATTCGCCTATCACAGCTAGAAATGATATTTGATAGAACTTTGATATTTTTTTTACAGACGAGCCGGGCGCCGTTGGAATCGAACTCCAAGCCAGTGACTTTGTGGTAGATAGCGCCGCAGACATACCTAGCTGCCCGCACTCATAGGATGGTAGAAACTGACCCTGGGCCCAAGAAACCTCACAGTGAGCATTTTGACCTTACTTTGCACGCGTGACATATTATATATACTAGATATAGACGAATTAATTATCTCTGACTCGTGACTAAAACGCAACTTACAAACACGCACATATTTTATGAAAATGAAATGGGATTGTCATGAATAAATCAAATATACCTTATATGTAAACATAGTCACATTTTAATTCGGCATATGCCACTTTTCGCTTCAAATTAAACAGATTGCTCGAGATTAATGATAGGGACAATATATCCAGTATGACTCTCTTAGACGTATAATAGACTAATATTCAAACACTTTCGAAGAAGATACCAAGAACAGTAATTAAGGTATTTATGTACTTTTTATTTATTTATTAAAATTCGTACAACATTACATTAAGTTCATATATAACTAAAAATTATGCGTAATTAACTATTTCAGACTTAAGTAACTATGACAGTACAAATATATATTATACAACTATGAATCTTCCTATCTATGAATAAGTGATAATTAATTTAAAGAAATATTTATAATAATTAAAAAAGAGAAAAACAAAAAAATCTAAAAGAGTACAAAATGGCATGGTAAGAAAAAAAAAACTTAAATAATTATGTAAACCTAATGTTAATTACTGTGACACAACTTAGTAAAAAGTTGTCTTTTGAATGTGCTTTGCTTGCTCCTGAATATATCTATATCCTTATCTGTGCGACAAACATTATTATACGATCGCATCATTCGAGCAAAAGGTGCTTGGATTCCCATGTTTGTTTTGACGGGGGGAGTGTAGAAGGTGTTACTGATGGTAGAACGAGGATATGAATGTGGAACACTAATATTAATTGATTCTATAAGGTAAGTGCACTGGATCTGACAATTAATGACTTTAAACAAAAACATAGCCTCTGCTACGAGTCTTCTATTGTACAATGAACACATTTTAAATTTTTTGAGTCGCTCAGCGTATGGTTGTCTATGAGAGAAGCCACTACAATTATATGCGAGATGCCTTGTAAAAGTCCTCTGTATACTTTCAATGCGTTGTGTGTGTATAGCATATAAAGGATTCCATATAATATCTCCATAAACGAGATGACTGCGCACTAGAGAGTTGTACAACACAGTTTTAGTTTTGGTGTTGAAACCATTTGTGTTACGTTTTAAAAATCCCAACATTTGTGCAGATTTAGTTACTGCTGCGTGAATCTGAGGTATGAAAGTTAATTTACTGTCTAGGATTATTCCAAGGTCGCGAATTTCAGAAACCTCTTTGAGATGCGCGCCGTCAAGCTCGTACACGTTGGCAAGCGGTTTTTTTTTTCTTGTATATTTTATATGAAAACACTTAGCTGCATTAAGGTACATGTAGTTTGAAGAACACCAGTCTTTTATAGAATTAAGATCATCTTGAATAAGGTTGGCGTCAGAATCGGACTTTATAACCCGGAAAATTTTTAGGTCGTCCGCATAAAGAGAGACTTTGCAATGTTTAATATGATCCTTAACATCATTCAAGAATAACACAAAGAGCAATGGCCCAAGATGCGATCCCTGAGGGACTCCAGATTGTACAATATATGGATCAGCCTTCGACCCACGAATGACTACCGTTTGAAGTCGATTATAAAGATAAGAATTAAACCATTTTAGCAATCCTCCGCCTATTCCGTATGAAGAAAGTTTACGAAGCAGTAAGGTGTGATTAACATTATCAAAGGCACTACTAAAATCAGTATATATCGCGTCAACTTGGTGTCCCCTATCTATTTCCTGACACAGTTCATCAACGAAACATACAAGATTTGTTTGGGTAGAACGACCTTTCCGAAATCCATGTTGGTCATCTGATATATATCTATCAAGGACTCTCGAAATAACACCATGCACAGCAGATTCGAAAATTTTAGAAAAACACGACAGTATACATATTGGGCGATAATTCTTCACATCCAAAATATCTCCCTTCTTGAAGACTGGAACAACGCGAGATTTTTTCCACTCTTCAGGAAACACACCGTCCATCAAAGACTTATTAAAAATAGTTGTAAGAGGTAAGGCTAACAACGACCTACACCTTTTTATGAACAAAGGAGGTATCTCGTCTGGCCCCGCCCCCTTTGCGATGTCAAGTTTACTCATAAGTCGAGAAATTTCTGCCTCGGAAAACGTCAGAGAACTTAAATTATGTACTGGGTTATTCAAATGAAATTTATACGTATCCTGAAGTTTATGAGAAGACTTATAGACCGACGAAAAATGTCGTGAAAATAGATTTGCGATTTCGGAATTCGTCCGGCCTATCTGGTCATTCATGATTACGCTAGAAGGAATCCGAGACTCACCACCTTTCTTATTCTTAATAAAACTCCAAAAACATTTCGGATTTTTGGGTATATTTAGTTCAATTTTTTGCTTATACCTGAAATAGCATTCATTGTACAATTTATGGCAACGGTTTCTAAGAAGATTAAATTCTATTTCGTCTCGTGGGTTTTTATAGATGATATATCTCTTTCTTAGCTTATTTTTCTCCGACAGTAGCTTTATTAAGGAAGAATTAAACCAGACAGGATATTTAGAACGAGTGTGAGAAGCACTTGGGACACATTTATTTATTATGTAATTGAGAACATGGTACAACTTCGTTACCATTTCATTAACGCCAATACAAGAGGAAAACTCTGCAGACCAGTTTACTAGTTGCAGTTCTTTTAATACCATTATGTAATTAGCTTTGTAGAAGTTACGTTTAGCAACACCTTCTGCTCGCACAAAAGTAATTCCAGAAAATTTTACATTAATTAAAAGGGAAGGATGAATACCGTATTGTTTACTTAATATTTCAGGAGCTTGCATTACACGAATATTTGGTATATTACTTAAGACTAGATCTAAACACCGGTTATCACTATTGCGAATACAATTAAATTGTTTAATATTATTTATAGACATAAAGTCTACAAGACCGAATCCAAGAACATTATTACTATTGTTAGGATTCATACATATATTGTCATCACTAGGTTGCCAATTAATCTTACACAAGTTAAAGTCGCCGACAATTAACACTTCGTCACTAAAATTCATCGCTTTGTCTACATTTCCTAAAAAACGAGCCAATGTGTCAGCCTTCACTGGTGGCGGGAGGTATACTACACAAATTGAAATTTTTCTAACAATCTGGCCTGAAATTAAGTGAAGTGTAACCCATAAGTCTTCTATGTCAGACTCCCACGATGGGACCCTAACAGAAAAAAAGTTCTTAGAAACGGCCAGCAGCACACCGCCCCCATCCGACTTGACATTGCACGAACTCGACCGATCACGGCGGTAAACAGAATATCTAGAATCGAATAACTCATTGTTTGAAATACTAGCCTTCAACCAGGTTTCGGTGAGGGCAATCAAATTATAATTACTAGTAGACAATTTCTCAAAAAAATTACATGTTTTAGTTCTCAGGCCTTGCACATTTTGGTAATAAATTTCTAACATGGATACTTAAGATAAAAAAAAAAAAAAAAACAATAATGAATAACTAAGAACGAAAATTAATAATGGAAAGTAAATTTACATATAGAACGCTACTTATATTTTAAGTTAAACTATTTAAAGTGTCTCTATTCTGAATAAGTAAGGCTTGGCAGTTTTCATTTTTCCTTACGAAAATTCGCCCATTTCGAACCCAAACAAATTTGTATTGGGCTTCTTTAGCTTTTTGGCGGGCAGTTGCGAAAAGAGCATTATTTGTCGCCGTTAGGTGCTCCGTTATATATATCGGCTTTTTATTGCCACCGATTCCAATATGATGAGAGTTCAGTTTATCCTGTTGATGTTTTTTGTTAAACTTACTAACCGCTGCTAGTACTACGTCTCTAATTCTAGGACTTCGTAGCTTGACAACCACTGAACGGGACCTGTTACTAACATCTGTGGACTTGGCTATTCTAGTCACATGATGAATATCGTCACTGGTGACCGGGCAGTCGACAGTTTTGGCAATCTGAAGAACAGTATTAATCAGATTTTCAGATCTATTTTCTGGTAAACCGTTAATCAATAAATTATTCTCTCGGCAGTGTTGCTCGACTGACCCTAATCTGTGGCTGAGTTCAGCAACTGAAACCTTTAAACGCTCATTGTCCTTCTTTAGACTGTCTATAACAGCGTTTTTTTCCAGCAGAGATGACTTCATTTCTTCAAATTGATTATTTAGGAAGGTAAGTGAATCCTGAAATCCAGCTACCCTGTCATTGAGAATATTTAACTCTGACGTAACAAGCTGTTTTATTTTTGTTGTCAATATCGACGATAGCTCCTGTTGCAGAATCATGCGCAGCTTATTTTCAGTGACAAAGGAACATTCGATACATCGGTAAAAAATCTTGTCTTTTGAGGACATCGCAAAGAAATCATTTTCCTGCACTTCCGCACAAGATAAATCGAATTTTTGTTTACATATCTGACAACATAAATATTGTTTTGCCGGCAGTGATTTAAAACAGAGAGCGCAGATATTTGAAGCCATCTCACAGATGAAGTTTTAGAACAAACAAACAACAAAAAAAAATAACAATAATAATTCGCACTCAGATTCGAACTACGATCGAAAGAAGTAACGAGTCTCGTTCTGAACACCTTAACTCTGGTGACTATTCACACACTGTCTTATTTGTTCAAAATATTGTATTTATTGTGCCTATCAGCGTAGCAATTGCGTTCGAGAATACTCTGTAACACAAAGGTTCAAAGTCCAATTTCTCCGAGACACATAATACACTCTTTGTAAAAAAAAAAAAAATACTCCTTTGCCAAAATTATGAAAATCACTTCAATAAACACTCTTTAGATGTATTATAGTTCTTCTTCACGTTACACTAAGCATCACGTTTGTATGTATGTATGTACTAAAGTCAAAATGAAAAATCATTCATGTAGGTACACTTATAACGTCACCCACAAAGAAACTAAACAATCGAAATGTACATTTACTACCAGTTCTCAAATCAAGGGCGTAGAACGAACGAAAAGAACTGGCAAGAAACTCGCCGCCACTCTTTTTTATCGTCAAGTTTCTTTTAAAATCTTCACGTACTTTAAGTGCACTTCATTTTTTTGTTACAATGGGTACCTCCTTACCCCAAGCTTTTTTATCGTTTAAATATTGATTAACGTCATAATTCCAAATATAAATAACTAATGTATGGTAAATATAAATATATCATTTAAATTTATTACAGATTGTGATGTAAAAATCGACCACCAACTAAACGGACCAGGTTCCAAAGCTGCCGAGATTGGTGAGTCACGCACTAATATTATTATATATTAAAATCGAATGTATAATATAAATTGATTTAATCAATCATTATTTAACAGGAATCCAACCTCCACTGAAGTCTCCGACTAAATTTGATCCCGAAAAAGGAGGCAATTCTGAAAAAGCTGACTTCGAAAGGGCTATCGAATTAACTCGTAAGTACTCACATTCACAATTGATACGAAACGTGTATATGTTTTTCTTTCTTCAGCCCAACAACGCAATCAATCTGCAATGGATTTTTACGATAGCGGAGAACAGACCAACATGAGTTTACTTGATGGTAGGCGAAATCCCCCTGCCTACACCTAATCAAGATTGGGAAAGGAAAGGCTTTGGTTATAAATCAAACGCGGAAACCGTAACCGCGGACGGTGGTTCGTGATCCGGGCGGAATTTCATTATTTTTTCCACCATTGAATAACCACAGGCGAACAGTCGAAGTCTAATATGCTCTAGAAATATTATAATATGATTAGAAATGATGGGATCGAATCCACGACCTGCTAATTATTAGCCTTACATTGCTACCATTACACCAACGAGCCCCTTTAAAAAAACTTACGGCTTACAGTTAGAGTTCTTCGAATGAGTAATAAATATAGTGGTCTCCCCGTGACCACGGCTGCTGCAAAGCATCCGAAACGTCGGGCCGAAGTTAAAAATCATTTTCAAATAAGTTTAACTAATATATCGCGTTTTAAACCGTTAAAGTGTTTTATTTAAATGAGTAATAAATATTTAATCGAAATGCAAATCATGTATAAACAAGGGTAAACATCAACAAAATCAAACCCAAAATGTAGCTCGCTAAAATCTGCTGTAATTATTTGTTAAGCGAGGAAGGCGCAAAAGACTATGATTAACGGCGCTAACACGAAGCGATAAGAGCTTTAGGAATTGTTTTGACCGATGTAACACTCGTCGCAATAAGTGTCACGTTGCATAATAAACGTAAAGTGTAGAGGAAGCCGTGATACTCCGATTTATGAATGAGAAGTGTTCGCTCTGCATTCCTTGACTGAGTAGTCCGTCGTAAACAAGTAGTCCCTTCTAGGAAGACCGTCGACACGAGTAAAATTTGTTTACGTACGTACTGGATACAGTGGCGTGACAATATTACTATGTCATTACAGTTATAAGAATCGGAAACAAGATCGGGGTTCTTAAACGCTTCGGGAAGTAATTCATATACAAGTTAATTTTGTTTGACGTATTTTAGGCTCTCATCAATTTATGAATGTTTAAAACATTTTGTATTTCGTCTGGAAATCTGGATAAAAAATGGTATTGAAATTCCGTCCGGATCACGAACCACTCCCTACAGATGTAAAAACGGTCAAGTTTAATCGCGTTTCGGTTTCAGTCTGAGGATTTCCAAATATCCAAAGGTAAAATAGATCGACACCACATCTTGTTTAAATGTTATATGACAGAGGTATTTCACGTATCATCAAGTCAAGCCCACGCTAGTCTGTCGTTGTCTATCGTAAAAAAAAGTATCATCCCACAGAGCCCGGAGATCCGAGTTCGAGAGCCGGGAAAACATCATAACTAGATTTGTATCGCAAGCCATAAACGGACACATAAATTGTTTGTTTGTATCATGGTTTATTTAATTGAAAACTCACTTTTAAATAATAAAATTAAAAATACCGTTATAATTATATATAAAAACCATAGACTATAAAAACCAATAGGCACAACCATAAACATATTATATACATTTATATATTTTCCTAATCAATTGGATCAAAGAAACGGTATTTATATATAACCTTTTTTAGGATATGGCCGATTTCACTACCTCCTTTTGGCCGTCTGCGGCCTCGTCAGCACCTCCGAAGAAATGGACGTCATCTCCATGTCTTTCATCCTACCATCAGCACAGTGCGACTTAGATCTCACCACTCAGACGAAGGTAAAACTTTATTTTGTATTTATCTGAAGTAAACTATGTAGGGAACTCATATGTATTTTATAGGATTAAATTAGTTATTTTACGCCTACAAAGATACTTTTTTAAGTTTATGTAAAGGTACAGATTAAGAGATATATCCGTTCTACCACTTAAATATAAGGCACGATAGCTCAATTGGAAAATTACCAACACGATACGCTGAATCGTGTATTCGAATTCCGCGCGTTAAATTTTACTTTCGATTTAAAATAATAAATAAAAAATGATGTAAATTTTTGATTGCGAATTATAGACATTTGACAATGTAGGTTTTCCCAAACATCGCTTTTACGATGTAGTTGTTAACTATAATAGCAAATACTTATCCTCGAAACAAAAAATATCACAATGTGGTAAAATGAGTTCGGCGTGCGAATCTTCAAATCATACATTATGTAGATAACATGTGTGGAGGTAATTTCCTATTGTGAGGTACAAATATTTACTTTGGCGTTCCCCAGAATAGATGACATTTTTGATTTATCAGATGCGTGGAACTATTAAGAGGCTCTTATAAATGCATGCTATTATATAACTTAACCCCTTAGAAGTTAATAAATTAACATTTTAAATGGCTTTTTTACGAACGAACGAGTCGGTTGGACGACCCGCTTTCAATCTTAATCTTAAATACTGCCCGTAACGGTTTAAAACGCGATATATAGTAGTTAAACTTTCAAAATTATTTTAACTACTGCCCGACGTTTCGGATGCTTTGCGGCAGTCGTGGTCGCCCCGTGACCACGCTTGTTAAAGTGTTTTATTTAATTCTTAACCTTGCTTGCTTTCGACACTTGAAAATACCTCCTATATTTTGTAAGCAACCAAAAGAGAAAGAGGATTCTAACAAACGGTTTAAAGTTAGCAAACGCTGTTAAGTACATAGTAGCTGGTATAAAGTTAAGGAAATAAAATATATGACTTTACTTAGGTATGTACTTTATGTATTTCTGTCTTTTTGACTATCTAATAATAAAGTAATAAGGATGGTAACTATGGCGACGACATCTTGAGAACATTTCGTGCTGTACAAATGAGTATTTATAACAATAGCTACAGCTATTCAGGTCTCTTTACCGTTTCCTCACCAGGGATGGCTGAACAGCATTATCTTCATCGGAATGATGGTAGGCGCATACGCATGGGGCTCCGTGGCTGACACCCTGGGCCGCAAGCGCGTTCTTATCGCCATCTCCATCATCAACGGGCTGGCCATCGTTGCATCCTCCTTCAGTCAGAATTATGAGCTGTTTATGCTTTTTAGATTCTTGAACGGTGCAGCGTAAGTTAGACAGATTTTTTTTTAATTCAAGATTGTTTAAAACAGATTTACGTGTATTATTACTGTTTCTTATTATTATGTTTTAGTTATTACTATATTTGTGCGAACATATTCTTATGTTTTGTCAGTTCCGTTGTTTCTTAACACTATTATAAAAATTGTGATCTTATTTTTTAGACAGATTTTATTATACCATGTAAAAATGTGTTATTGCTTGCTTTGGTTTAAGCATTGCGTAGAATGTATTCTATTCTACAATATACCCATGTATCCAATAGTATCCTAATTACTACTTCAAACGAATTATTAATCCATAACAAAATTGTATTTGTCTATAGTTTAGGAGGATCCGGCCCAGTTATCTGGTCATACTTCGCAGAGTTCCAGCCCAAGAATAAGCGTGGTGCCATGTTGAGTTTTATGGCTGCTTTCTGGACTTTGGGAAACCTGTTCGTAGCGGGATTAGCTTGGGTCATTATACCTAGTGGTAAGATAACAGTGAATGAATTTTACAGAAGATTTAAAAAAATCGCTTCGTTTGATCATATTATTGTACATAATATATTTATTTACAGAGATCGGGATTCAGAGCGGTGCTTTTATCTACAACTCGTGGCGTATCTTTCTACTAGTGATGTCTCTACCTTCATTCGTAGTAGCCGCGCTCCTGTTTCTACTACCAGAATCACCCAAGTTCTTAATCTCTACGGGCAGGCATGAAGATGCCTTGGAAGTCTTTCGAGGCATTTATATGATGAATACCGGCCGAAGTAAAGAAGAGTATCCAGTAAAGCAGTTGCTTATTGACGAGGTGATGCACGCAAAACCGGAGAAGCAAATTGAAGCTAAAGAACCAAAATCGAAGTTGAGGAGAATGTTGAGCGACATTGTGGAGCATAGCAAACAATTATTCGTACCGCCTATTCTCAAGTTTACAACGATCTCGATCACGATTAATTTCACATTCCACATTGGGTAAGTAATGTCTACATTGTAACTTTGCGATATATTTTATCAAAAGAACCTTAAAACACAATTAAAGAGAGTGAAGGTGACAACTGAATGTGTCCTTAACCATTTTAGATATTTGGGTGTAGATTCAATATAGATACATACTCCTTTATTTAATTGTTGGTTGGATAGTTTGCATTGCTTAATTCAGAATCAATAAAGACAGATAAAAAAACTGTAATTTTGCAGCAAATATTGCATAAAATAAATAGCCATTATTACAACGTACCAAGAACGATCCATTCCTTTACAAATTTCCCTTTCTTTCTATCGAAAAGAGAAGGGCTCCAGCCCTTCTCGAAAGCTATCGTCCCATCTTTTCCATGATATTCTCTTTTTTATTTTCGTTACTTTTTCTACACCATTTTCCTACCTCTCATTGTGTGTGTGTAAAATCGTATTTTTCATTAGTAAATATGTGTACACGCATAGAGCAAAGACATATCTGTGTAGTGATCTACACGACCGAAACTATTGATGTTATATAATAATTAATTATTTTGTGACATAGAAAATTAAAGCCAAATTTCGATTTCTAGCTACTACGGTCTTATGATGTGGTTCCCGGAGATGTTCAACCGTTTCGACGAATGGTCGCGCACGCACGACAACGCTGAAGCAGATATTTGTCAAGTGACCGCGTATGTGACGCAGTACGGCACCCACTCAGCCGATGCCCACTGCGACTCTCATATTAATTCGAATGTTTTCATGGAATCGCTGATCACTGTGGCAGCGGCAATACCGTCTAACATCTTCGCGGTATTGGGCATGGATAGACTTGGCAGGAAGTTTTTCTTAGGTGAGTGTTTCTGAGTGAACTCTATAATTCGCATTAGTTCTTAATGAGATATTACTTAGCAGACACCTAAACTTCACTTAAGATTAATGAATGATTAAAAAATGGTGAAACTCAATACAAACTACCTCCTTGACAGCCGTTATTGATTTAAAACTTGCCTTTCGTTGATTTTGTACTGTCTTTACCCTTTTTATATAATCTATGGCTAGCTATTTTACATAGTATTAATCGCGGTATTTTGAAATAAAAAACTTAAACGGTTTAAGAGTTCCTTAAACTATCTCAAAACTTATATGAACTGCTTTTTAATGTAATAAAATTGTTTATATTTAAATTAGTGTAAGCAACAGACAATACTTACTACTGTTCGCCTAAGACTAAAATGTTTTCTTCCAGTATTCGCGACGTTCTCTGCCGGAATATGCTCGGCTGCGATGTATTTTGTTTACAACAAGACGAACAACTTGATAGTGAGCGCGATATTCAGTTCCGTCATATCTTGTGGTAATGCGTCTCTTGACTGCCTCATCACTGAAGTCTTCCCGACAAACTTAAGGTATTATATTTATACAATCACAAAACCTATAAAAAGTAATATAGAAATAGTATTTTCTATGCAATGTAAATAAAATTACTCCTTTCTTTTCTTCCACGATATGTGGGTAGTTTTAATCTTTCCGTTCTAATCCAACAAACAAATTGAAACTCTTCAAGTCATCAAGTGTTATTATATATGTATATTTATCAAACACTTATGGGTTATCTTCTTTTTTTACGGCCACAAGATTCTTAAACAGCAATAAGTATCAAATACAATGTTTTTTAAACTTACAGAGCTACCGGGGTGGCAGTATCAATGGTAGCAGCCCGTCTGGGTGGTATCATCGGAAATGTCGTGATCGCCACACTCTTGGACACCTACTGCCCAGCACCGACCTTCATTGTGGCTGTGCTGCTCGCCAGCGGCGGTCTGATGTGCCTCTTCCTGCCCAACACTACAAGACAGGCCCTACAGTAACACTAAGACAAATTTACACCTTATTTAAAGCTTAATTATTATCTAGTCTTCCGATCCCAATTGGAAACCAAAGCCTCGTGATCAAATCGAGAACTGACTACGACCTAGATTTGTTATTACAATGTTTTAGGTTTATTTACGACACATGGCTAAAGGATACCATATATATGATACAAAACCACGCATATTGTGTTGAATTCTAAAAACTCCAGTAGTTGTGATTTTAGTAAGTAGGTACAGTACAAGTGGGTCGTAAATGTAATAAGTCAATTTTAACTTGGGTCTAAGACTAGATATGAAACACTTATAATACCTTTAGTGTATACTCAAACCGCATTCGCTTTATGTGGGCCATGTTATGTATGTGATATTTTTATTAGCATCGGTGTAGATAGTTCGTTCATATTTGTACAAAACTTTTATACATATGTATTTAACACCATATTTTTAAATAGTGTGATACCGTATGAATTCAGAAACCGTGATATTGAATGTTAAAATATTTTTTTTAAAGAATTGAAAATAAAAGTATTATATATTTAAGTCGAAAACCGTACAATTATTATGTTGTTACCTTCGCCTGTTTAAAACGAATTTATAAATTATTAGATATTGTTACAGTAGTGTGTAGTTTTAGATAAGTTTGAACATGTACAGAAATATTCAAATTTATACATTGGTAATTTTCTTTCATTTGGATTCAGTTTAAGGTTAATTGAGTTGTCGATATGCAGCAATAAATGAGAGGAAAATAAAACCAAGTGCTTTAGTTTTTCATTTATTATATCCTTAATCTACACAGAAGTATGATGTTCGACTACACCTTAGTAGTCCTATATTGCCTGACGTCTTTACACAAATCAACGTGCATCGACATTAAGTATAAGACAGTAAAATTACTCCAACAAGTATTGTACTTAACAATAATGCTATGATAAAATGACAATCGATCGAATTTCATAATCGTATTTTGTAACATTCATCAAATCATCGTAAAACTAAACGGATATAAAATACTCGCGTAACTAATTTCATAGTTAGCTGAAATTTCTTTGACATAAAAAAATATTACAATATAGCTAACTTTCATATATTACAAATATGATCCAACAATATTATCATAATATAAAATTTAATTTACAGTAATAGTCCTTAAACTAAACTTTATATGCGTTGTGCATTTACATCTAATAGAAAGTCCAAGAGATGATACCTCATAAAACATCAGTCGCGATCGGGTGCATGCCATATTTACATTAGTGCGCATTTCTAACACGCAACAATTCGATTCTACGTGGCTCTATTTCTCTCGCGAGTCATACAGTCAAAGACTATGTAATTTAAAAAAACAGCCATAATTTCATCAATCAACGGCACTAAACTCCGCGTTCTATTGCACAGTATGAAAGAAATCCATGGGCCCAGCACACTTAGCACGTGTATCAGGACTCTAATTTTAACTACCGTTATAAGATATATCACTAACAGAAAGCTGAATAGCGGGTTGCAGCGGAATCTCAACTGAAGCCTCTGAGATGTCCGATCCCGGAGTGAGTAACCTTCGCGGCCACTGGCTGCCGTCCTCGGTTTCCGATTCACGAACGTCGATCGACGATGGGGAGCCCACGGCCGACTCTACCGATGACACCGTTCTCTCAGTTATCTCGTCCATGAGAATTGGCATCGATTTGCCGACCGATTCTTCCTCGGTCAATAGGGGCATAGAAATGGGGCCCACGATCGGCGCACCCGTCTCCTCCGTCACCACGAAGGTCATCGTACTGGGCGAGGGTAAAAGGGAAGTTCTGTAGTTACTGTTGCTGAGTGGGTCCGTAGTTTTAGGGGCTATCCGTGGATCGGTTACGGTTATCGGCAGTTCGAGAGATGTGGGTACGCTATGCGGCGTGACGCCGATCACCGCTAATCCATCCTCTAAGTTTGAAGGCACAGCCGGCTCCGAGTCCCCTTTGGACGGAACTTCGACCGGAGTCATAATCGGTTGATTGAGAGTTGTACTAGTTTCTGAAACGCTGCAATGAACGGATACGTTAGCGTTGAGGTCCCGGAAGTCTGGTGCCTCGTCGCGGGTACTTTCGGCGTGGAACACGTCACTGTTGGCGAGAGCCGCCTCCAAGATATCCCGCCGCTCCGGCTGAGGTGCGATCACGGGGAGGGATTCAGGCATCGGTACTAGTTGATTATTCTCCAAGACTAGCGGGCGATTGTCAATGGGGGTAAAAGTGCCGTTTTCCTCGACGCAAAGGTAAAAGGAACCCTGAGGGCCTCCAAAATGCTCTCCGGGTACGGCCAACAACTGGCCATCGGAAAGGGGTGCCGCGGGAGTTTGAGAAACTTGACCGGACTGCTCATGGGGTGTGGCCTCTGCGTCGCGAGTCCGAGAGATCGTCGTCGTAGGGAGAAGTTCTTCAAAGTTTTCCATGTCGGTATATGAAGAGGTCGCAGAGACGATGGAACTCGACACGGTGGCAGTGGCCGTTACAGTCACGTTCAACGCGGATGGTGACATCGGTGCACGGGTGAGTGCTGGTGCGGGCGCTATTGTTACATCCTGTTTAACTTTCTTGGATGGAGCAGATGACTCGGTCTGTTGCTTTCGCGCTCGCTGCTTAGGTGTCGGTTTAACGCCTTCTGTCGCTGTCTTTGTAATCGTCTTTTGAATGACAATTTTATTCTCCTGAGCGGGTATAGGGACTTTCTGAATTATCTGACCGGTTCTCTGTAAATGTTCAAACTGAGCTGCGGTCAACATTACAGTGCCTGGCTTTTGAAGAAATAGAAGTTGTTCCGGTGTTGATTTCTGTATCGCTGGCGCAAGCTTTTTAGGTTCGGCTGGAATTAACTTCTTAGTAGCTCTTATGTCCGGTAAAGGTGCAATATTTTGTGTTGTAGTCGCTAAGCGTCCTCCGACTATCAGTTGCCCCTTAGATGTTATAATTGCACTTTTTTGTTGTTTGGCGACTATTTTCGTGGGGGTTTTAACTGTAGCAACCGAAGTTACTACGCTTTTTTGTTGTGACGTAACGTTTGTCGATATGCGATGCGCTGCTTTAAGTTGAGGTACATTTTGCTGTTGTTTATTTGGGAATAAAATCTTCTCATGCTCAGGCGTAAGAACTATCCTGGACTGTGTACCCTGCGCGTTAGTTATAATCATGACCGTGTTCCCGGGAGCTTTCGTATCCGACGCCGACGGAATTAACTTTGCTGAAACAGGTTTATTGTCTGTCACAGGCGTTGTAACCATTCCTTTTTCAACGACGACGTGTGCTTTTCCTGTTTGAGGATCTATGACGATTTTCTGAGTTCTTGTCGGTCGCGGAGAAGCAGGAGACGGTAATATAACAAACTTTTCTGTTTTTGGACTATTTTGGGATACCGCTAATTTGGGCGATGGTTTTATTTCTTTTATAGGCGAGTCACATTTCGGCATGATGAGCTTTTGTTTTCCAGTCGCTTTATCTATTATTAACATAGGCTTAGGCGATTTCAATTTTGGTGACTTAGATAATATGTTAGGGGTGGTCACTTTATTACCATCGTGAACGTGTGTCGAAATTCCACTAATATCTTGTTTATTAGAAGATGTAACTGTAATTTTTTCACTAGTGTTTCCTTTTTTTATTTTCACTTTATTTGTGGCCGTCGAAGTAATTACATTTCCATCCGACATGACAATCGGCATTTTTTCTATACTCTCGGGAGTTAATATGTCATCAGAAATCACAATTGGCATCGAGTTTATATCAAAAATAGTCTCATTGGGCTTTGCTGCTTCTTTTCCTATCTTGTTGTTGAGTATTGTAGGTACGGTTGAGGTTAGTATTTTAGGTTTTTGAATCTTATGGGCAGGTTTCGGAACTTTTCTTAGTTTTTGCTGAATAACAAATGTATTTTTATTCGTTTGTATATCTGGCGTAGTTTGTATTGTGTAACTTTGCATTGAGGTACCGTCGTCAAGTGGCTTGGTATTACGCGATAAATAAATTTTTTCAGGAGTCGTTGCTTCGTTTAAATTGTTCAATAATGTTTTTTGGGGTGTCGTTCGCCTTATTATGATTTTCTGTTTAGCTGGCTGTTTAGGCTTGATAGTTGGTTTATTGACTTCCAGGTTTAAAATTTTGTCTCTGTTAGGGACAATTACCTTTTTATGGACCACTGTACTTGTGATAGAAACTTTAGATGTGCAAGGTTCTTCTAAAATCTTTAATAGTTTTGAACTTGTTTCAATTTTTGGTAAGTTTCCATTTAAATCATCAGATTTCACTATTTTTTCGAGATTTGATATAGGTTTGGAGTTAGGCTTTTTATCAAGAGCAACATCAGTTTTAAGAGAAGAGTATGTTGTGGAGGCTAACTCCCCTTTATTAGGCGACTTAACTTCTGTTATATTTATCTTATGATCGACAGATTCAGACATTTGCACTAAGGACTGAGCGGCATTCAAATTTTCGCTTTTTTCTTCTTCACTTTCAAATCTGATATTATTTGTTAGGACATCAGTATTTGTAATACTCTCCTGGTCATTTATATCTTGTTCACTTGTGTTATTTGCAAGTGCATCAATATTCATTGTAATTTGATTTGTTTGCTCTGGATCATTATTTGGTAATGCCAATTGATCTTGACTATCCCCAGAAACTTTGTTTTGAATCGTTGTAGATGGTAAATTTATTAAGGCTTCAGCAATTTGTAAATCTGATTCAGTTGGTATATTACTTGGAAGAATTTGTAAAACATTGTCTTCTTGCTTAGCGTCACATATTGGTGTTGTCTCATCTTTGTAGTAATCCGAATCCTCTGTATTGACATGAATACTGTCTAGGGGTGTATTCTGTTTATTTAAAATCAGTGTTTCATTGCCAACCACAGGGTTAGTTTTAACAGAATCGTTTAATATGTTTTCTAGGATAACTTTTTCATTTTCAACCACGCGTGGTAATGCCTCATTTGTCGTATTGTCTGATGCGATTGCATGATCTTCCGTTCTATTTACTTCTGAATTATTGACGAATCCATTTGGATTCTCTTCACAACCATTAGTCTCAGAAGCAAGTACAATATCCTTATTGTCATCTTCAAATAAGTCTTCCGGTGGATCACTACTTATCACCTTTGTGACTCTATCGGTTTCTCTTGAAACACTTAATAATGCGTCAACTGCAGATGCCGTAGATTCACTCATACATGAATCGTATGATTTATTAATATCCTGTTTGCTATTTGGTTTTATAGACACATTAGAGCCTTGCTCTATCAAAATAGATACCTGTTCCGCCGTCGTTTCTTGTATATTTGTGCTGTCTTCAATTGCAGTTGTGAAAGTTATTACAGGGTTAGTTTCCTCAACCGTTCTTTGTGGGGGAGTAATATCTAATAAAGGTTCTTTTTCACTACTTTCCATTGGAAATTCCGTTATTTGCTTAGTTTTATCACTTTCATTTTGATTTGTAATTTTGGGACTCAATTTTTGTTCAGGAACAATTTCTAATTTATTATTATTCACCTTTTCACAATTAAGCTTTTCGCTTTCGCACCTCTCCTTTTCTCGCAATTGTGCTGCTTCGGCATTCATTTTCTTTAATTGTATTTTAGGCGCAAGTCGAGCCACTTTAACGTGTTCCGTCGGAGATGAAATTCTAGGTTCAGGGGATGGCGTAGTATCGGAGCCATTTAAGTCGTTATCGATCAAATCGAGACGTTCCGCTGCGTTTAATTGTTCTGCAACGTATTTTCCTATTGCATCTTGGCTTCTTGAATGCCTGCTACGAAAAAATGTCTTAGTTTTAAATATGGTTCTAGTTGATTGGACTTCAGTATCTTTTTTTTTTTCTGGTGAGTCACTAGCAAATTTTTCGGATTTTTTATCCGGAGATTTTACAATTGAAGGCTCCGGAAAATTTTCTTCAACCTTTAAAGGTTCTGGAGCTGAGGGCAATTCAGGAACTGTGGTTTTATTTAAAAGTTCTGCTACTTCTTTTGCCATTTCATTTTCATCAATACTAAGACTTTTCGTATCTTCTTTGCGTTTTAAAGGTTTAACACGAGGAATTTTCCTTCCCATATCAGCCTCCACAGGCCAATCTTCATCTTCGCAAAACTCATATTTAGCATCATTAGATGGTTCTGATTTCTCAGAAGGTATACTTTCATCTTTTTTACTCTCCCTGTCTTTTGCCTCAGGTTCATTTGAAGATTGGGCAACAGGTAATTCAGCTGGTGTAGGTACTGCCGGTGAGCCCGCTGCCACGGGAACATCTGGAGAACTTGCATTAGCAATAGTAGAAGACTCTTCAACGGAATCTTCATCGCCATCATCCCAATCAGCTAGCAAACTACTTTTGATTTCTTCGTCTGTTTTAGCTTTCTTAACTTCACGTTCATTGTTTTCTTCTGCTTCTCTTTTCTGTCCCTGTTTATCAAGCAATAGCTCTTGTTTTTCCTGTCGTGGTTTACGACCTTTTTTACTTTTAGGAGTACTTGTTATAGATTTCGGTGTTTTGTTGATTTTAACAGATTTTTTCTTAAATGGTGTTGGAACGTAAGGTGTAAATGTGGAACTATGAGTTTTGTTGTGCAAAATAAGAACATTGAGGCGTGATGTAGAAAATTGACAAGCATGACAAGCATATATTCCAGGACTTGTAACTGTAGGAGTAGTACAAGATAAATTCTCCTTAGATGGCTCAATATTTTTTTCTTGCAACTTTTCATCAGTTGGTTCAGAACTAGCTCTACTTGTTGATGGAGTTGTTTCTTCAACTTGTTGGGGTGTTTTAGAACCTTGTACTAATATGTGGACTTTGTAATTGGTTTTCTCCTTTATCTGAAATATAGACACAATGCATAAGCAATTTGTCATAAATATAGATATATTAATCAGATATTACATGTATTTAAATATTTGTACCTTTCTGATTGGAGTTGAAAGTTTAGAAAATTCAGGTGACCTTCCCTTGTGACTCTTTCCTGAAATACCAAAAATATTTCAAATAATACTAATAATATTCTTAATATTAATATTTAAATAAAACACTTTAACGGTTTAAAACGCGATATATTAGTTAAACTTATTTGAAAATGATTTTTAACTTCGGCCCGACGTTTCGGATGCTTTGCAGCAGCCGTGGTCAAGGGGAGACCCGTGACCACGGCTTAAATGTGTACTACTCGCGTAAACTATAGACAGTATTTAATATTAATATTTTTTAATACAAGGAAATTTCAATAGAAATGAATCCAAATCATGTGAAAATGAAAATGTTTGTTTACAAGTTGTATTCCAGTGCCATAATTTAGAAATTAAGAACATTTATTACACAATAAGATAAAAATAAAAAGAATAATTTAATACAGAAAAAAAGATTCTTAACATTATGTATAATTCAATTTTAAAATAAAGTCACATTTCTGTCTAGAACAGATTTTATCAACCACCAGTGTGGAAGATGACTACTGCACAAAAGCGTGCTTTCAAAATATCAACCTTTTTTAGCAGAGGCAGGTGTCTTCTTTCTAGGACTACCAAAAAGGTCAGCATAACTCTCTTTTTTGGTTTCCTGAAACTCATCCCGAGTCAGTATTTCAATATCTCCACCAACAGCAGTTTCAGCACGAATCACATCTTCAGGAAATTTCTCTAAAAGTCCATGTTTGGTTCTGTACATGTCTGAAAATGAATTGAGTAGTGGCCATTATTTTTATGTTTTATTTAGGTGTGCACAACACACACCTATATAAGACATTTAAAAGTTTTAGATTTCAGGTGAACCAAGACTGCTGGACAGCAGTGGGTTGAAATTTAAAATAGGTTATCAGATATATTTTGCCTTTTAAACCATTAAAGTATTTTAACTAACAAACATCTTAAAATATTGCACTTTAAAACTTTTATAAGTGAATTTCTTATTATATATAATAAATGAATTCTCATTCTATCACTTAACATATTATATTTTTTTACTAATACATATTGATTAATGCACTCGCTTCACAGTTTTATTTTTAGACAAATCTGTGTACTTACAGAGTCCCTTCTGGATGAACTCATTTTTCCGGCTACACTCATACTTGTAAATGGCATTTGGATTTTTCACATATTCACTGAAAGAAAAAAGACTTGAAATAGTAAATTACAAAAAGTTTTTGAATGATAACTTGCATGTGAAAAACCCAGCAAATAAACAAAGAGATTGATTGTTTTTATAAGGGAAATGTAGAAGGCTTTTTATTTTTTACTTACAATGTATCTTCTTGAAAGAATTTCACAACAGCAATTGGTGGTTTCCTAAATGAAGCAAGGACATTTGGTGGTAGTTTCTCTGAACCGACAACCTCACCGGGCCACCAACAAGATCCTAGTTTTACCCATACAATATCCCCATCAGAGTAAACAACTTCAGCCTGATCACACATCTTTCAATCAGGATTTAAGCGACACGCACGACCATATTATTCTTAGATACTTCAACAAGAGAAGCTGTCATCAAAACATTTTGATTTAAGTATTACACTGAAAAACAAACTACGTTTGAATGTTTATTACGGGGGGTTTAATTGTCAAAATATTGCATTCTTAGATTACCATAGAAGTTGCAAAATAATACTTGTAAATAAATTCACCGACTGCGTACGATATTGTTACATGGAAATAACGATTGGCAGCACTGAAATGAATATCTTATAAACATAATTTTGATTCACACTGATATGTCAATTTGAATTTTATATTCAATATTTATATTACATTTTATTTTGTCAGAGCTATTAGTATGGGTAAAAAATAAAGAGTCATTACAAAGTTAAAATATATAAGTATGAAGCGGAAACAATTATGAGAACAGCGTCAGCAAGTACCAACATTGAAAAAAATTGGGTACAGACTAAAAATCAACTCGCTACAAGATGTCTTCTGTATTTAGCTACAGTATCATTTGGATACAGATAATATCATTATTTAATGTTTATGCCATGGATTAAAGCATTTATATTTTATCTTATTTTTCATTTTTCAGATGTATAGTTTCGGGGAAAGAAACGACTAGGTACTTATATTTTTTATCATAAAGTACATGATTTAAAAGTTGATTATTTCGTAAAATATAACCTACTTCTTAAGATGATCATTCGTGGGAATTTTTTTTACTACTTTCAAAATAATTTTACAATTATTATTGTTCACATCGCATTTTTATATTATTTGCCACAACAGCCTAATGCAAAAAGCTTTGACCACGCGTATATTCTCTGCATTTTCTCCTCGCACCTCTTATCTTATGATCTCTGAAATTAAAAATCCTTGGGAGAACTCACAGAGTAAAATTACAATAATGTGCAAAATGATTGTATTCATAGTGTAAATATAGTAAGTTATTTATGTTATAATCATCGCTTTCTAGATAAGAGTCGGCTTTGTCGAGGCACCTCTTGGGAACACAAGACTCCGAATCTTCTTTGAATTTTTATTTATTTTTATTGTTTGAAGTATCGGTTATTAACCCAAATTCACTATGTACAAAATATACGCTTATATAGGATGCCTTCAGAGTTACAAGTAAGATAAGTGTGACGGCATGGCAATCATTATGTTTAAAAAGTTAAATCAAACTAACATTTTGTCTAGGTAAGTGAAGACGGGTAGGTATTTGTTTAAATAATATAATTTAGTAAACTTTCTCTCTGCATATCAATTTATTTAGAGAGCAATTAAATACAACGAATAAATTATAAACTGTAAGTAATATTATTATGTAAATATTTCATCTGTGTCCCTTGAATTCGGATTCATTAATTACTTTAAGTGCTTAAAGGTAAATCTAAGCTGAATTTCGCAATAAATTTTCAATGTCAAGAAAAATTTTTCGGCAAATCAAAGAATCCTTTTTGTTTTAGGATTTGCCGAATAACGTAAACTAATATGTAAGATTTAGACGTTCTATATAAAACCAACAACGCTTATAGAGGTACAGTTCACGTCCTTATTAAATATTTACTAAAAAATAGATTATTTCAACTTCTTAGCCCGAATATTGTCGAACAATTTTTGTCCATTGTTGTGGGAAATTCCTCTGTACGTAAGACAGTGTGCGTTGTATTTGTTTCGTTTCTTGAGGTGTGCATTGCGGGCAGGCTCCTCGAAGCACTAAAGGTGCTAGAGCTGAAAAAATAAGTTTAAAATATATAAAAAAAAAACTAGAAAGAAAACTTATATGACTACATCCATTGTATCTAATTAAATTATTATTTTTTTTTATAAGAGAGGACAAACAATTATTGGGTTCATTTTTTGAAAGGTGAAATTGTCAAGCCATACAACATCTCAACAAGATGAGTTGTCAACGTTGGATATTCAGAAATCCACAGACTGAAACCGATACACGATAAAACTTCACAGCTTTTTCATTTGTTTACCGGGGTACGTGATCCGAATGAAATTTCGTTGGTCCTACCATTTAATTATAAATTGATTAGAAATGTGTACGTGTGGACCAAACCCACCACTAGTTGATTATTAGCTATACATTGACCTTTAGACCAACGAGAATCATTTTCATTTTAAACGAGTATACATTTAGTTTATTTACAGACATCAAGTATTTTTAACTTCTTATTTAACTTGTTAAGCCAACAATCAAGTAATTAAGGACATACTATAGTTAATGTGAAAATGTTTTCACTCGTAGTAATAACCCAACTTACTCTTAAGCCTCTTTCCGATAGGATCACATGGTGCTTCTCCAAGCGCGCATTTTAACTGCCGCTGGATAAATCGTTTATCGTTAAGAGCGTCTTCGAGTGCTGTGTCTGAGACTTGGGGGCGATCGGTTTCTGCGACACAGATAGCTGCCATTGCGCAGATTAGTATTACGTATCTGATCTGTAATTATTAAAGAAAACTTTATAAGTTTTATCTATTAAGTTACAACAATGAACAAACGTACAACAATGAACTTCCTTCCTTTCTCCAAAGAGTTGGGTTTTAAACGTTTTTACTTTTATTGAATATACGAGTTACCTTAGAAGTATATTATAGAACTTATCACATCAATTAATGTGTTGCTATGTTGCAAATTGTCAAAATAAGTCGGTTACTTTTAGTTCTCGGTTTAATTACTATGCTAGAAATGATATCTTGTGAAATCGTTGACTTTATGGAATTTCCTTCTGACCTCGTCTTATCCGTATACTTTGACACACATAAAGTAAAAAGCTCAAGGCAGACAATGCGTCTTTTCGATGACATCATAGACAGAGTACCAAGCGAATCTTAATGGTCGGTGAACAAGCCTTTTGTTAGGTCTAGGAAACATATTTATGAGCGTTCCACTAGCATCTATTATTTAAATAAAATACACTAACTTATTAACAACATCGCATGCTTTCCAGCAGCCGCAGCCACGGGGGGACAAACCGTTGATAGTTTTTTATTTGTACTTGCGTAAAGTGCAGACAGTACTACACTTGTGTTATTCTACCTAGACAGTATTTTAAAAAGTCCATCAGTCATTTTTAACGTCCCTGATTCGACATCACGTTAAATCCATCGCCATTTGCTACGTGATTTGAAATTAAATGGTTGAGTAATCGTTATTATTTGTTATACAAGCCGACTTGTACTGAGCTGATTTTCACATGCATTTTCGGAACTTAAGTATTACGCGTTATTACGCGTTTTACACCGTTTAGGGTGTTTTCTATGTATGTGTATTACCTGCATCAACTACTCACAGAACTTGCGTCCTTACTATAAATCTTGAAAAATGAGAGAAGAATAAAAAGGAAACGTAGAAATTCTATTTTAAAATAATCATACCGTGCATCACAGAACGATGGCACCTAGCGCTAATCAAAATATAGGACGCGTATGCGCAAGAAACGTTTATTGTTTAATTATTCCGCAATGAGAAAATCTTTGACGAATAAGAAAATTATTTGCCTTGGCCCACATTTGGCACTAGCTTTAGACAATAGTGTGAATAAAAACTTAATTTAACCCATGTTTTTCCCTTAACTACCTATTTAGATCTTATTTTAATATTAACTTCGGAAAATATATCAGTCTAATCATAAGACTGTATAACATCTACATAACGTTTCTTATGTATTATTTACAGAACACAAATGATGTCAATATATAATACTTAGTATAGGTATACATTATTTATTTACTCTTCAAGCTAGAGCCCACTCGTGCCCAGCTTTTTACTCAGAAACCAGTTTATGTTTATTAAGAGTTAATCTTAACGAGATCTTATCGCAAATATATCTTTAAGGTAAGGCTTATGGGATAATGAACTTGGATGCACTTTTAAAAGACACTAAGATAACAAAAAATATAGGTCGCACAATATAACAAAATCTAACTTTCGTTTAAAAACGTTTAACTATATGGATTTGTAAAGCATGTTGACAGTGAAATTGAAAAATAGTGTATCTTTTGTAAACAACAAAATTTAACAACGAATTTCACACCGACGAAATATCTCATCGTAAGTACAATTTATTTTGGTTTGATATTATGACTTCTTATTCGATATACTAACCTTGAATGTATAGCGGAAATAATCTTACTTCCACCGCGAATCAATAATATAAATGAATTACATATTATGCGATATTTCGTTTAATATTTACCGCAATTCGTTTACTTGTAATAAGGCTAACCACGGAAAATTAGCTTACCGTACGCCAAAGTTCTTTAAAGTTGAAGTTCAGTCATTTGATTTTATGCACATACCTACTAAACTTTTTTACTGGTATTTTTAGATTTTTGTCCTGATTTATAAAACAATTTCCTTTGTGTCTATGTATGTATGGCTCCCAAAGTGCAATGCGATGTTTATTTCTTAAAATGTATCTAACGGTTCTTCATAGCTAACTTAGTACTTAAAGTAAAGTTTACTATTTAAACCAGTCCAATCGTCTACCTTGTATGTGAAAGTGACTCAAATAAGTCCGTTCAGAAGTCTGGCCGAGTCCTGAGCAATCGGGTACAAAACCAACGCAAAAGGTTTCGTAAACAAAAGGTACGTGTATATACATACCTTATTGGTATTCATGCTTTAGTCACAATTACAAAATCACATTACAAGTAATATTTAAAAAGGTTATTTTTTTAATAAAGATGAATTTTATTAAACAATGTCAGCATGTAGCATTTTTATTCACGTCACAAGCTTTGTACACTTGTAAACTTTAGAGTTTTTTTTTATTTGTATTTCTTGTTACGTAATTATATTTTAATTATATTTAGTTCATTTTTTTGTGTTGTCTTTTGGAAAATAATGTTTGCCGAAAACTGATAACAAACTGTTTGTCGTATTTAATAAAAATGTATTATTGTAGTTTAATGCTGTCAGATCAATAAGTAATCAAGTTGTTTTTTTATGTAAGGATTGTCTCTATTCAAGCCAATTAATTTTACTGAGAAATATTCCGCACTGAATTATTCTGGCGACCCTTTTTTACAAATTAAAACTAATAAAATAGTTTTAAATGTTCAATTAGATTTTTTATCAAAATTACAGTTGGTCAAGTCTGCTATCAATTAAAGAGTCAATGTTTGTGTCTTATTTATTTTTAAAAGTTATTTTTCTGAAAAAGGTTGAACACGCGTTAACCTATAACTTAGATTTGTCTACCTAGGTTGAGTCTTGTTTATAAACAATCGCATGTAGATAATCATACAATGTACAATTAAATGTAACTATATATAAGTCATACAACGGACCTTCATGCGTATGCGGAACCAACTAAATGGCACAGCTGAGCCAAATTACTACAAATTAAGTATGAAACTTTCCCTCCAGCAATCATTCGTGACGATATTTCCCAACCGTGAAACATTATGATCTTTTAACAAAGCGTCGTTGCAAAAACGATGCATATCAAATGCCACTGATTTTTCTTATTTATTTTGCCCACAGATTATTATTTAGATGACCTCTTAAATTTCGTAATTAATTTAATATCAGCAAATTGTTTTGGTGAAGTATGAATGGGTGAATTTAAGACTTACCTGCATTTTTGGTTGAATTGTCACGTCAATTTTAAGAAACCCGGATCTGCTTAAGAAATAATTCACAGTAAATTCGCCAAGATGTTATGCGCGGCGTATGATTGGAGAGAATGCCATCGTTGGTGCCGTAACCTCTTACTCAACACTCCCCCTCTACGGAGACCTAACTCAGACTCGAACGTAGCGTTACGTGACAAAATAAAAAGCAGTTGCAGTCATACCAATTTTATTTAGGTTTGGCAATTTCGCGGAAAGTTCGCCATTATAACGAAACGTTTTATTAGAAATCAATTTGAGGTAATTCGGCTAACTAATTAACAATAAATAAATGTTTAAATCTTTTCTCTTAATTATGTTTATCTTTATAATACTCGTGCAGTCGTTATTATTCGACATGAATAATGGCCACTATCAATTGCTAATTAGCTCTGCCTAATTATTAGCACACTGCTTAACAAAACTCCTTATATCTAATACAAACAGTTTAGCCTCATTTAACATGTTGTTGTACTAAATACAGTTAGAAATTCTTTACAAAAAGGTCAGAAAACGATATTTATATGATAAGTAATTTTAATTCAATAGTTATAAGTCTAACGTTAATATCCAATAGAATTAATATAGGTCATTTTTCTGGAGATTCAGCCATATTGTCTAACAATTTTAGCCCATTCCCAGGGGTAATTCCTTTGCACAAACGCGAGAGTTCTCCGAATTTGACGGGTTTCCTGTACTGAACATTGGGGACAAGCGCCACGTAACACCAATGGTGCTAAAGCTGCAAAAAATATGAATAATTATAAAACTGCACCACACTACACTACAAAAAATAGATCTATTGCATAATGTATATAATAATACTGTACAGTGAGCATGAAAATACTTTTTTGGTACCTATCAAGTTAAAATATGATTTTCTAAGTTTTCTATATCAATAACTGAGTTTAAATCGATCAAATAAAAATAAATAGTTTCCCTAACATTAACCAGTTATTAAACTAAGATCAAGTTTTATATGTATGTCTATTTTAATTGTTAAGTAAACTGTGACAAAATGTGTTTATCTATTCGCATAAACCACAGAAGCAATGTAGAGGAAATTGTTTCCTCTACATTGCTTTCTGCGAAGTAGCGCTAAAAGTTGTATACATTCGTAAAGATGCTGCATTTTGGAAAGGAAAAAGTAACTATAACATACTCCGCAGTCGTATCCCAACAGTGTCGCATGGACCTTCTCCCAAAGCACACTTTATATGCCGTTGCATGGTGGGTTTATCCGCTAGCGTCCTTTCTAGCTGACCATCTGACATCTGTACTCCAAAGACGATACTAGGCCAGAATAATGTTAATATGAAGACTAATTTCTGAAAGCAATGACAAAATTGAAGATACATCTTTATAAACACAAGGATTTTTGACATTTAATTTAAAATTAATAGATTAAAATCCCAGGTAATCAGCCTATTATGACATTTCAGCAGGGCTTATGACACAGAAATGTAAATAAGAATTGATACAAAATTAATTATGTCCGCTCTATATTCTAATATAATTCACACGTGGCTTTTATGTTCTATTCGTAGAAAATATATAAATAAAATAAATATAATTAAGAATATAAAATTTTAACGTTTAAGGATCGCTGAAGTAATGTACGCAGGTGTCGACCAATTTAACTAAGAATAACGTGATACGCAAAAAAATAAAAAAGTTGACTACCTTGAGATTTAAGTATCTACTTGCGGACTTGGTTTAATTGCTTTTAATGTTAAAGGGTAAATTTAATAACTGCTAACAGACGAACTATAGAGGATGAAACAAAATAGTTGTATATAATTTACTCCTGTTACTTTTAGAGAAGCAAAAAACGGACAATAACACATGGGTTCGGCAAAACGGGCCTATAATAATATATATCAATGTTTGTCCAAAAAACTATTTACACTCACCCGCATCTCTTTTTGATGTCTTGAAACAATGTACAAGTAAACCCCAATATTTAGGCAACACCGGGTCAACGAATAAGGACGGACTGAGCCCAATCATCGTGTTAACTAATTCTGGGAATGCTCCCTCCCCTTTGTGTGGTGATTAGGCGTCAACGAGCCTACGATAACGATCTTTACGACAATTCATCCGGTCCTTCATTAAACTACATCTTACAGACTGGATTTTACGACTTTTATCTCAATTGGTAATAATACCTTCTTCATAGTTATATATAATATATTGGTTGAGTTGTATCAGAATTCAAATTAAACGTACTCCTGAGTTTCACATCTTTGATAGGTGTATCGGGTTATTTTCTAAGCTTTAAGTACAAGTCATTGATGTTTGTAAGATAATAACACCGAGCATCTAAAGAACGTCATTTTAAATTAAAGGGCCGGTCGCCTATTACATTTAGTCAATGAAGTCAAAAACTTCACCACAACTAACGGGGATCATTGCCTTAGCACATTATGTTGTTTAGAAATTAAAAAATTGTACAAAGTAATATGTTTCGTTTATAAACATGACGTCGCGATATACATATGAGTATTAAAAAATGATTACGTACTTATGTAATATAAGCTAACAAAAGACAATTTTTCATATAGTCAAATTCTACGATATATACATTTTTAATATACAATAATTATTAGAAGTATTCTTTAATACATTCATTATAAGAATGTTATAATGATGGACACACACTTACACCACAGATAACGTTATATATAATATCCTATACGATATCTGTAACTTCTATTAGACGTTGGCAACACTAGGTATGAATCATTACATCAGTCATAATTTTTGCAATTGGCAACCTGCAACTCAATTTGTTTTTTTTTAATTTGAGTGAGAGTTTTAGTGCTATCTCTTAAAAATTACGTTTTAACTGTTTTTAATTAAGATGTAATAGACATATGAATCAAGTTATCTAAATATAGTTTTACATAATGATCTGGACTGGTTTTTCACCCTGGGATGTCTACTTTCAAGTTAGAAAATAAAAAAAATTGTCTAATTAGTGATCTGTCAAGCAATCATATGTTATACTAATTAGTGATGTCGGTGTTTGTTTATTATTTACAATAACAATAATACCTATAACTTCATATAAAATGAACGTTCCTGGAACTGCTGGGGAATCCTCGTGTAAACGACAAGAAAATGGCGACGGTACAATAGAACCAGATCGCCCACTTAAGAAAGCTCGGTTTGCATGGCAGGTAAAGGGAAAATACCATTTAAAAAATGAAAACTGCGACTCCAAACCAACAAATACAGCGAAAGATATTGCACATGCAGCTTCTTCCTCGGACACTGTGGGTCAACGAAACGATTTAGTCGGAAATACGGAACAAAACCTTGAAATACTGGGAGATTATCTATTGAAGCAGGATTTCAACACACTGGATTCAATAACAGATTCTGATAAAATTGTTCTACCAAGTACATCTAATGAACAGTTGCCTTATCCAAGATATGTTAGTTCCTTTGAAAGTTCTTCCAATAGAGACAATAGAAGTAGTGACGGTGAGAATTCCTTGACCCCAACATTATTACATGCAAGCAACTATAGTGAAGACCAGTGCATAGCTCGATGGCAAGCAAGACAAGTTTGTATATTACACTGCTTCATTATCACAGTAATTTGAAATTGTACAAACCATACTAAAACAGTATCTTAATTTCAGATGGCCAAGTGCTTCGTGGACAACACTATAAATCGTGTTTTGGACAACTGGATGGTCGCACCTTTACCTGTCGGTGCATCTATTGATGTAGATAACAATCGCTTCTTAGCTTTAGATGTTGCTGAATTTATTAATAATCTACCAGGCGATAATACTATAGAAAATGAAGGTATACTGATGGCAATATCAGCCCACGGTCTCCAAAATACAAGTACAAACAGTCAAAGTGATCAAAAGGAATCAAACACAAAAGATATGTTTAATACACCACCCAGTAGTCCTGTACAATCAGATGATAATATAAGTCAAACAACAAATAGTAACCTTAATAATGATCCCAGCTCTTCAAGCGATCTTGATATGTCATGGTCTTATGATGATGAATTAAAACAAAATGATTCCAATGACTTACAATTTGCTTACTTTCCAAGTAACTCAAGTTCATACAAATATTATGGAGATACTGACCCACTTGATACTTCTACTGTAAAGAACAGCGATGATACTCTTAATTGTGATAACAATGTAATGGATAATTTTGATTTCCTTGATGCTGCGGTAACATTTGCGATACAAAACAAAGGCTTGGCATCTTATGGCACAGATTATGGCTAATTACTTTAATTTTAACTATATACCATGCATGCAAGTATGTATATGTAATAATTTGGATATGATAAGGAACTATTTAATTTTAGTCAAACTGCCACAGAAACATTATTTGTTACCGGAATACAAAAAGTCATTTTGCACATTTATAATCTATGTCATAGGGCTTGTTTCACTGACTAGTTCTTTTATTTGTTAAGATACATTTTAATTTCAGACTAAGCAGACTTTTTAATAATGTAAACATTTCTAGTATTATTCAAAGAAACCTACTTAGATCTGATTGTTATTCTATTTGCAATTTACAGTATGATTACCTGGTGCTTTTATTATTACAATTTATTTATAAAGATCATCAATATTAGGCTGTAATAAAATCGGTTTTAAAGTTAGAAAGTACAAACTACTACATCATTAATAATTTGAAATAAGGAACCTATATTTAGACATTTGTAATATATATGTATTATGGTATTTCGTTTACCATACTTAATGAAAGTTCAACTCATAAGAATTTAGAATTAATATAGTAGAGAAACTGATATATTTAGTTGCCATAAGCTGCGGCCCATAGATCTTATTAAATGATTTACGTACGATAGCATCACAATAATTAATATGTGTATAATGTACATTATTTCAGATAATGTTTTTCATAAATTAGGTTTGTAACTTTTTGGATGGTAAAGATACCAAGTCCAATTACACTGAAAGCCTATTTTGTACCTACCTACTTAAGTTGAAATTAAATGTCTTATTCTGAAGATATAAATTGTATTACTATGCCGAAATATTTTATGTAAATAATAGTTATTAATTATTGAATAAAGTAGTCATATTTATTTTACTTTTCATAGATTAAAATTCCGATTACCTATGTGGGACTAACGAAACACACTACCATGTCCTGTCCAACAAAATAGTAATTACATTGAATCTCCAGGACATATAAACTCTTAGACTCCCTTGCGTACACATTTTAAAATATACGGATAGAGTTTTGGGATATGTGTAATAAAAATCTCACTAACAATTTTATTATTGCTTGTTATTATTCACATAATACAAAATAAACTATTTAAGACCACTGACTTAATCTACTTTGACTTTATAAAATATTCTGAATTACAACATGTTATTTCATCACAACATGACTGTGAACTTATTTCAACACATGTAAGTATATAATTAATGTACATAGCAGTCTCAGGTAAAATAATTGTGATGCTCACGACATTATTAAATTATTTTACATTCATGGCCATATATATATACTTAGTATGACTCTAAACTTTACATGATGTTAGTGGCTCGATACATAATTATACTATTATGTACATATTTAATAACTCTCCGTCAGCTAAATTAGCTATTAAAATCCATGGTATAAATTTAGTGGGCACGGCCCTTTTTCATTTCGACCATACTAGCAACTACTATAACTAGAGGATTTTGGAACTCCATTAGATTTGAAATACATTTTAAATTGTACACAGTTGCTAAAACGGCCGAAACAAGAATTTCGACGTCGTTGTACATGTACACATTAATAAATGATTAACTCATTGAATATAATTTTCATGTCTTAATGCACTGCAAAGTCAATGTATAAATTAATTGTATAAAAATATGCATTTCTATGTCTAACATATTAACAAAAATATGCTGTCAGCATGTAATGTCATGGTAATTTAATGAAAAATTCAGAGTTCAGAAAAAGTATGGTTTGCAATAATTAAACCCAAAATATATAGTCGCAATTGGTGAAATGTTCAATCTACACTAAAATATAATGTATATAATTAATTGATTTAATAATATAATTGTAACAAGTAGCTTACATATTACAAAGCCACTAAATCACACTATTTTACAATCATATTTACTGACCTAAACATATTTCATTAGTGAATTCATATATTTAATTTATTAATGAAACATGAAAGGTTGAGGTGTTTAGGGCAAAGTAAATAAAAATCACAACCTATAGTAAGGAAAGGATAACTTAAATAGAAAGAAACCAATTGTACGGTGTTTGAGCTGCTCATTATCGAGCTGCTTGGGCTACAAGAAATGGCACAAGAGGGTGGTACATTAGTGTTTTTTGTAAACAGTAAAATGAAGAAAAAGAAAACGTTCCCACACTAAAGATTTTAAATACATATTAAGTTTATCAAACATTAAATAATCTTAAAACAAGGCAATATTCACATGCGACAGAACAAAGATTCGATACAAATTCCTGTGATTGACTTCAGAATGTAAGACACTGGGCATGCTAACGTATTTTCAGCACGTTTCACAAACACAATCTGAAGTCAAGCCAAATATTTTAAATAATCTCATCGTCTACAAACTACATTCTATATACATATTACATAACTTAATTTACATATCTATCATTAAAAAATCTTCAAAAGTTAAAAAATTGACAAACACATTTCAACACTCCTATACTTAAGAAAGCGTATGGATTCTTCATAATATGTACAAGTTTATTAATGCGCTAAGTCATTATCTACTACCATTACATGCAAATGAGGGCACCAAAATAATAAGTACATGACTTTCCTTAAGATAATATGTGACGATTGTTTAACACCAGTTTGCCGTGAGAAAGACGAGACTTCATTAAAGCTCATATTGTGTGATTGTACTTACATTTGTGCTTATCAATATGACTTCTAGGTACTGTCAAACTAATCTTTAACTGAGCGAATCCATTTGTCCAATAACTTGAACAGATAAAATTTACTTGAAAGTACACTGAAAGGTCACAATTTCATAAGGCGGAAGTTTAGATCATCTTCTTCATCATCATCTTAACTATATTATGTACATTATGCACAAAGACAAAAGCGTCACACATCGAGCCACAAAACGGCGCAGCCACCATTTATTGCTTAAATATGAATCAGTGTTTTATTTCCTAATGAAAGATCACATAAGATTGCTTTTATTGGTATGTTTAATGCACATAACATACAACTTTTGTACATTCAATTGAAATTCATGATCATAATTTTATAAAAGGTATTTTTTACTAAATACAAAAAAAAAGTGACTTCCGATGATAAATAAATTGATATATTAAGAAATATATTTCTCAATTACATATATAATACTTCACCATCTTGTAAGACCAATAATTCATTCAAAAACCATCTTTAATTTTATCATGAGATCCTTCTTAGTTCGTTAGACTTCACCATATCTTTCCATTTTCTAAATAAAATTAAATTATAGACAAACTAGATGAAGTGAAATAAATACTTGTGTGATGAGCGGATGTCAACCACTCAGAGATGTGGCAGGAGAAGGGGCGAAGCAGTGGCGCATCGCTATGGCTTGAATTTTACAAGAGGTATGTTTTTAGAGTGTAAACACTTGTCACAAACCCACTCAGCATATACTTCTGCAGTCAGCAGTTGAAATGCAGGTTCTGTAAGACCTGTGCATCCCCTGAAAATTAAATATTTTCTATATCAGTAATTAGCCAAATCCAACTATTAATTACAAAAATTCACTTGCAATAATGGTTAAAAATATTATTCAGAAGGACTAATTTTCTTACCTATGAAACCAAAAGTTGCATCCAGATTCACATAAAATTGCTTGGTCATTATCATGTACTTCTTTATGACATACACCACAAGGATATATTGGTGGTGCATTTGGATTTTGTGGATTAAACACCATAGGTTGATCGGGGGGATATACTTTGCCAGCACTGACAGGCATTGGTTTTGGGCCAAACATACCCATGCCTTGTCCCATGGGTCCTTGGCTGCCAGGTCCTCCCATTGCCATTCCACTCATTCCAGCCAGAGGTCCACAATTTCCCATGCTTCCAGGTCCTGGACCCATTCCCATTGATCCACTTCCCCCCATTCCCATTGGGCCACCATGGCCCATATGATTGCCTGAATATGGGGGGCCAGGGCCCATTGAATTCATAGGCCCATTTACACCCATTGGGCCACTCCCCATTCCTGTTCCCATCGGGCTGCCATGTCGCATAGGTCCGCAATGTCCAGGCCCCATACCACTATTCTGCATAGGACTAGGTGACATTATGGAGCTACTAGGACCCATTGTACCATTTGAACAATTAGGCCCCATAGGACCATTCATACGTGGAACATTCATGCCTGGTCCTCCTCCCCCCATGGGTCCATTCATTGGGCCATTCATCGACCCTGCCCCTAGGGGACTATGCATTGGAGGACCCATTGGACTGTTACTCATGTGACTTCCGGCCATTGATCCCATATTCATCGGACTGCCCATGGGTCCAGTTGACATAGGAGATCCCATTGGCATAGAGTTCATAGGACTCATTGGACTTCCCATAGACCTCGATCCACTCATGCCGGGACCCATGCTGTGATTACTCATGCCCATATTGGGACCTCCCATAGGTGACATGCCTCCCATGTGACCCATTGGGCTCATATTACCCATTGGACTGATACCACCTCTCGGTGGCATTTGTTGGTTCATTGGGCTAATGTTATGTGGTAACGGACTCATATGTCTCATAGGCGGACCACCCATACTATGCATAGGGCCCATCATACCCATTGGTCCATTTTGGTTCATCATAGGTCCGTTTTGACTCATCATTGGACCATTATGTGATACTGTTGAGGGAGAGTCATCAAAAGGATTTGAGGCAACAATTGTATCACCATATCCTGTTAATGGAGGAGGCAGTAAATCTTGTACTGTCGGTGTAGGCTGTTGTGTTGTTAAGGCGTTGTTGGCATTTGATGTTTTTCTCCTCTTTTTGGGATTACTTGGTGCCGGGGCTGGTGGTGTAGGAGTATCCATAGGGGGTTTAAAGTCTGGTGGACCCAAACCTGGCCCTTGTAGCCTGTAGGAAGGCATGCCAGCCAAATTGTGACTCATTTTTGTTTTATTCCAGGACAGCTCTTACAACCATTATGAAGTTTTGAAGTCTAATAATGTCTATTTAAAAATTGTGTTCATACATAAGGCACCGCATTGTCGCTAGAAAGCGCAATAACGTGCCGAAAGACTGCTTATGTCTATTTCTGCAACAAAAATTGACATTTATTTAAATTGCATATAATTGAATTGAGTGAAAATACTATTCGATGATACAAATTCTGCCCGATAATAAATATCATTATTGTAAAAATTCAAAACACTGCACTCATGGTATCAATGATTACGATAATATCAATAATACGATGAGCTAGAAACAGATGCATTTAAATCATTCAAATAACTCTAAACGATCAAAAGATCGATTGTATATAGTTGTACTTATAACATTATTAAATGCACAGCGACAAAACTTACTGCATTATAAATATAGCATCGGAATTACGGATTATTTTTTTGTCTTCATCAAGACCCCAAGGCGTGCAACATATGATAAAATATCAAACGATATACACTTTTCTTCAATAGTTCTTGCCCTGCACAATATGCTTACATGTAGATTATTGTTTTAAAATATATCAAGTGCACTTATATCAAGAAATACCAATCTATTGAATGCATTTTATTTACGATTCACGATATACCAAACAACACACGCCACATTCACGATGTATTTTTTGTCGCAATATTGCCGCTAGGGGTCGTTTTTAACTTTTTCTTTTTTAATGACATTATGGAAGTGGCAATGGTATTCGATTTAACCCACAGATAATATTTTAGTTCTACAGTAGAATACGAAGTTAAAGACCTTTTTAATTATTTTTGTTTTTGACTTAGTCGATGCACCATCTTTGCTTATATATTACTTATATTGTCGAAAAAACTGTTATACGTATAGATAATAAAGTATCGGAGTTTCCTTTATTATCCGATAGGTTCCCTTTTTAAAGGTTTTAATTCTTTATGTCAATTGTCATTTATCATAATTTTTATCATTATATTTATAAATTGTTTTCGGATTAAGGTTAAAAATAAAGTTTAATGTTATGCTATTCCATATATGTATTTAATTATAAATAACCATTAATAATGGCTTTGAACAGACTCTTTTCCAACCTTATAATTTCTACAACAACGAGTACTATCTGCAAAAGAACTTTGCATGCAAGTGCTATCTCATATGCAAGTAAACCGAATATTGTTAAACCAAAGCCTGGTTTTGGAAAAAGTTACAGGAGAATCGTACATTTTCCTGAGGAATATACAGTGAAGCCTTTAAATGTTACAAATTTAGCTGGCAGAGATCCTGTATCAGGTAACTTAATATAATTCTTTTTCTGTTATATTTAAGCTGAATTTTGAATTCAAGCTTTAAATTGATGTTAATATTAACAGGTCGTGTAGTGGCTAAAGGTATAGGAGGTGGAATAAAACACAAGTATCATTGGATAGCTTGGGTAAGAGATGGGCCAACAGAGGGGCCGCCACAGGAGGAAAAGGTTATCCAGGTAAAAAATGTTCTCAAACAAATCAAGATGGTCTATATTTTAAAATCATGATTAATTCCACCACATAAGTAAGGATCCTTTTTATTTAATTCCTAAGAGAATTCTAGTTTTGCAGTTGCCACTTAAGGGAATAAAATGTAAGTTAACTTTATTCTGTAATTTTCAGATAATAGAAGATGGTTGTAGAACAGCCCATATAGCACTTGTTGGTGTAGGGGACAAACTAAAATATATACTTGCCACAGAAAATATGAAAGCTGGTGACATAATTAAGACTTCAAGACACTTACCTCGGATACCAGGTTTTCTATTTAAATTAGATTGTGCACAAGATATGATCATTATCCCCTTTAAACTATTAATGCAATTCTTTAGAAACTTTGCTATTTTATATTTATTTAAAAATCAATTACACCAGCAGGCCACATATCCTTAGCTCAGTCATACTCATTGCTATTGCCTTTTCAGTTAGAGCCAATGAAGGAGATGCCTTTGTGTTGGGTGCTCTACCTACAGGCACCCTCGTACATTGTATAGAAAAGGAACCAGGTATGTTGTTACCTAACATAATTACTATACAGTAGAACTCCAATTATCCGAATCACAAAAAATTGTCCAAAAAAAGTCTAAGTGCGCTATTATTCTTGCCCCCGCTAAGAACAGTACAATTTTAATTTGTATGTTATATTACTATATGTTTTTTCAATTTGTTAATTTACATTGGTTTACTTTTTATACTAACTTCTCTATTATCATTAGAACATTTATCACCTTAGAATCAATGTTTTCTATCATTACAGCATAATGCAGCCCTAAACGTATATAAATATATATATAAAGAAATCCACTATTTATTAATAGACAAGTATAATTTACAGGTCAGGGGGGATTATATGTTCACGCTGCTGGGACATCTGGCACTATATTAAGAAAACAAAATGATAGAATCATTGTACAGATGCCGTCAAAAAGATTATTCAGCTTTGATCAACATTGTATGGCTGTAGTAGGTAAGTATAAATTTTGGTTAGGACTTAAGAAAATGTATCTTCTCTACATTGCCTAGTTTTAAGATTGAAGTTTCTTTTCCTTGTAAATCTTAATGTTAACCTCTTTAGCAAAATTAAATACACACTCACACATTACAGATGATGCAGGACCATTTGAAAATATATTTTCATAATAATTTATCTCCAGGTCGCCTTTCGAACGTTGATCACGGTGATACACCAATTGGTTCGCCACAACGTAATAGATGGCTTGGTAACCGACCTCGGTCTGGTTTGTGGCACAGGAAAGACGGCCGTCACGGACGAAAGATCAGACCTCCAAAGCCAGTGAAAGAAATAAAGAACCCAAAGAACTTCCCGTTACCTACTATTCAATTAAATATGGTTCCCTAATTGTTGTTAGCCTATTGTAGATGTAATAAACATATGAAATGAAACATTTTTATTCTTTTAAATAATTGATTCACAGATCTGTACTAACATCAAATACATTTTTCTATATATATTAAGCAACAAGATGAAATATACATAAGAGTATTAAGAAGTATAAAATGTGAATATTGTGCAGTAAATAGATAATTTCCTTATTGTTAGTCTTCATCAGAAAACGTCAACACCTGAAATAAACAATTTGAATTTGAGGTTTTTAGCATAACTCATAAAATAATGAGAGATTCCGTGCACTGTTTATACCAAATTGTGTCTTTAGATTTTGAACTCAAAACCTATTGTGTTATTTAAATAATTTTCTTTACTATTTAAACCGCGATATAAATAGGTCAAAATGTGTGTATAATATAAATTACTTACATCAGCAATTTCTGCAGTCAAGTGCAGCTCTTTCAGACCAGTAATTTCCTCCAAATAAGTACCGCTGTTGAACACTTTCATCAAGAATTCTATACCCTCCTCTTTATATTTCGCTAAGACGACATTAGAACAAGCAATACATTGCTTGAATTTGGCACAGGTTGGGGTAACAGTTTGATAAGAATGTAGGAACCCTCTAATTGAATGAGGAATGGGCCCTAGAACTCCGTCAAAACTTGAGTCTTCTTCAGTTAGATTGTATGGAGCTGGTGCGTTGATCCTGAAACGTGTAGATTGTTAATGTTATTAAAAATGTATTGAAATGGTTGTCATAGAGATTATGTACCCTAAAAACAGTTTAGTAGTATTTGTGTACGAGCCGTAATCCATGCCCTCGTTTACGGGTAACCTTTGGTCTAGCAGCAAACACTGTAATGTCCGATTAGTTTTTAAGGCCGAACGCGTATTCGTCAATTACAAAATAATTTTACGATGAGAAACGTAAGACAGAATACTCATGAACATACACATATTTTTAGTTCGTTTTATATCTGCTTATATTAACTAATTAAATACATTTACATTTCAGTTAATTACTTTGTTGCTTATGTTTTTCACAAATCTATAACAAATATTATGAACCTGAAGAGTTTGTTTGTTTGAACGCGCATATCTCAGAAACTACTGGTTCGAATAGAAATATTATTTTTCGTGTTGGATAAGACCATTTATGGAGAAAGGCTTTATAATATCACGCTGCGAGAATTGCGAAAATTATTATTTTTTTAGGCTATCCGTTGCCTGCATCCTAAATACGGTTCAAGATGCTCAATAAAATAAACGCATGAAAGAATGATTCCTCTTTAAATAATCCGTCAAAATACAGTATATCTTTTAAAATTAACTCACAACATATGTTTTTATACTTTTATATTTTATTAAGTGTGTACCTTTGTGGATGTTGTAATAGCCCCACCAACAACTCGACGGCCAAAGCGCCGGCTATTGCCGCAACACCGGGGCGTGTCACAGTGCATTGCTGGTCCAGCGTTCGGTCTTTTATAGACTGAAAATAAGAATAACGTACTGTTTATGTATCACCTATTTTATATGTATTGTGTATCAATCTTCTCGTTTTTAATTAATATAATAAATTAAAACTAACTTAATTTCAAGAAATCATTTATCATATTGAACGTTTTGCTTCTTTTTTTGTTGAAACCTTTATGTAAAATTTAACGAACTTTACAGCACAGAATTAGTAAATATTTTAGTGTTTTTTAAAGATATTATTATGTTTATTTCATCCATGTGGTAGATTATTATAGTAAATCCTGGTTTATTAGGATCTTAAGGGACCAAGACACCATGTACTAATTATTAAGGGTTTTCAATTAAGCAGGTTTAAAATTATTGTTGTCTTATTTACAGAGGCCGCAGCGTTGGCGGTAAACAAACATATCATAACGTGTTAACACTGATTAATTTATTTCACTTATACATTTAATTTCGCCACAGAGTCTCAATTATAGGGGCAAACGTTGAAAAGTCATACAATTCAAATATCATTTAGCCACTTCCAAAAAGCTTTTATTAACAGAGGCCCTCATTCATCTAGGTCCTACTTAACCATGTTTCAATGTATGTTTACAATAAATACTTACGTTGCCTGGTGCCGTGACGTCATTGCAGAAGTAGCAACCCAATTGAGAACCGTCTACATAGGAACTTCTAACATCACTATTTATCTCAGCATAACCCAGTCCGTGGCGCATTACTAAATAGCTGTCGAAGCCTAGTGCTGCATTTACTGTGATCTGTATAACATATAGGTAATAGTAAAAATAAATAACCTTATTTGGTAATTCAATTATAACGGTCTAGTAAATGTAATAAAAATACTATCAACGACATAAGATCTATACGAATATTATAAAGCTGAAGAGTTTGTTTGTTTGAGTGCCCTAATCACAGGAACTACTCAGTTAGAAATGAAAAACTCTTTTTGTGTTGGTTGGAACATTTATCGAGGAGGGTTTAGTTTTTATATAGGAACGTAAAAGCAGAGGAATGTGAAAGAAACGGGGAATATTGTTAACTTTAAGAGTATCCGTTCGTCCACTGAGAAAACGGCTAAAGAAATATGAATCTAAAAGAAGAAAGACAGCTCGTCTAAAATATTTCAAGATTAAATCGCAAGAAAGACGTTATGGGTAAAAGCTATAGTAGTTTACAACATTCAGGGGTTGCCTGCAAAAATATTATGATGTTCAAACTATTAGACGCGGATGAAGTCGCGGGCGCAACTTGTACCTAGATATAAAATCAAATTTTACCTTTCCATAATGAGCAGCAAGCAAGGTCGGTAGCCACCTCGCTTCTCTTGTATCTAATAGGAGAAATATGACATCATGTTCTTGAATTGCTTCTACAATTTGCTTTATATTTGATATTGTTTCCTCTTTCAAAGATTCACCAATAGGATGACCCGGCATTGGAATGTGCAGAGCAGAGCCATTGCTTACCTTAAAATCATGCCTTATGCTTATATTATGTACTGTAGGAAAAGGTAAGTCATTATATAATTATTTACTAACATATTATCATATATATATATATATATGTTAATATAAAATAAAATATATATATATATATATATATATATATATTAGCTTTTACGAACAGTTAGACTTACTTAAATTAAGAATTATATTGCCATAAATTCTTAAATATTGTAAAAAATCAAGTGGTTTAGTTACATTCATCAGACTATCAAACTTCTGTGCCCTGCCAGACTGAAGCAATCTATAGCAACTGTAACTATATACAGAACATCTAATAAAATCTGGTTTTAGCTAATAAATAAAACTAGATAGTACTGACCACAGTAGGTAATATTCGTTTCAAATTCTCGGCAGCAGCAACAGCCTTCATTTGACCACCATTCAAACAATCTTCATAATTAAACAAAACTTGTCGTGTCGGATTTGAAAAGGAGACTTTTCCATTGTCTATGAAAGAGATGTGCCGAAAGCCCCATGCCTGCAAGTCGATTATTATTATTTTTAGTTTTTTATTACTGAAGCAAAAAAAAACTATTAGCTTAATGATAGAGAGTATTACATATCCATGGCATAATTGAAAAGAATTGAAAAAGCGAGAAGAGATTTGTGATATGGTAGCTCTGGTGATAGAGTAAAGAAACATATTAGTGGTCGTGCCTTGCTTTTTTTTTACTTACTACGAGATTATTGAGTTAAGATAAGCAATTGAGTAAAAATTATTAATATTCAAGAGTGTACAAATGTCAAAATTAGATACCTACCAATAAATCTCTTGCTACGTGACACCCTAAAGTACCTGCACCTAGCAATAAACACTTGGTTTTCTTCATCACTTCCACATCAAGCTTGGGAACTAACCTCCATTGCATCAGTTTTATATTTAAATCAGACGAAGTGTCTGCCAACCTGTAAAATATAATACTTTACTATTTTGTATAAATAATCATAATTATAATAACTAATGAAATAACGTAATGTTTTATATATTAATATAAACCAAATTATTGTATAAATATCTTAACTAAATTATAAAATTAGATTTAACTAAGCATATTTTACACATGTAAAATAAGAATAAGCAACGGAATATTTACATATTACGAAAACATGAATTCTAACCGCACAGGATCCATTGACGCAGACATGTTAGCTAATTTCGGTCCAAAATTTCCCTTATTATTCCTTTCCCATCCCACCCATGCTTTGCCATTTACTGACTCAGTACTCTGAAATGGATAACATCATATCAAATTAATAGAGCAAAAAAAACAGGAAGTAATAGTTACAATTTCTTAAACACTATATTTACCTGTGGAGTAATTATTGTAAAAAGACGACTTTTCTCCACTGATCCATTTTTCGCTATTCTAACACCTACAACCTTTATTTCAGATTGATACAACTGCAATGAATGCTCTAATAAAGCTGCAAGGAAAATTCTCAAAGACCACCCTGGGTTCTCTGAATTACTTGGATCAGAAAAAGCAAAGTACAAATTTGAAATATCTATCTTCATCTCACCATTTTCTTTATTGAAGACATCTGATAGTTTATGGACTTGCACATTATTTGAATCTGCAGAAATGATAAAAAAGCATCTTTGTCTCACATCCAATGCTTGATACTCTTCAGATATTTGGGATAAATATTTATTGTTAAAGTGTTCTGAAAGTGCTGTACTCTTTTCTTTTAAGTGAACTGTTGGCTGGCTAGGTGTTGGAAATGCAAACCAGTAATAATAATGAAACTTCTTCAGGTCCTGCAATAAACTTAAAATGTATCAACATACACTAAGTATAATATTTCCTTATTACCTTTTATAAAGAGACTTACTGCAAATGATAACAAAAAAAAGTTCAAGAGTGTGTTTGGATATTCAATCCAAGTTTTAGTTTTAATATTTTGCCATATAATTTCTCCTAAGCTATTTAACAAAGATGCTTTGTCAATGTTTTTAAAATCTTCAATTGTATTCTTATTCATAACAGTTCCAGTTACATTTAAGTAGAAGTGTTCATCATCTGGGTCTCTGCAATTACAATTATCACACTATAATCGTAGCACTAAAATTATATACATCATGCAACTTAGTAGCCACAATAAAATAAATAGACTTACTTATTAAATGATGTGCCATCAACCTCAAACACTGACCCGATATCCTCCCGATAAGTAAATCTCCCATAAATTTGCTTAGTGTTTTCATTTAGTCTGTCGACGTTTAATTTTAATTCTGTTAAATTATGCCAGAAAGATGGGTGCACAAAAGACAAAAAAGGTACATATTGTATGATTTCTTGATGGCTCATTTTAACCTATTTTAAATTTTCAAAAGCAAGCAAAGACACTATTACTGTTTCCAATACCGCATTTATACGCAAAGAATATTATGAAATAAAAATTTGTTTATATTAAATCGTAAGTTTGAAAACAATCTAAAAGAATTGATAGTTGCACTGTCAATGTCAACTGCAGTCAAGTGCCACTCTTATCCATCCAAGTCAATATCTTATCCATCCACAGGAGTGCGAATATTTTTGAAACATATACATATACATTCTTTTAAATACCGTGATTTTTCTTGACACCATTGGTCAAATAATAAAATAAAGATAATAGTAATAATACATACTGTCTCGCCTTGTCATTCGTCTCATGGTCACACGATATTGGCAGAATCCATTCAGCAAAACCATTAAATTAAGAAGAAGAAGCAGAATATGTTATGTTATTATGATTGAAGATTTTTATAATTGGCAACATTTGGAACTACTTGTTTATTTCTATGTACCTGCAGAACGCTTAAATACTGGCACGTTTACTTTGATTCGTTATGCTTAATTTTTAAATTGATGTCATAATCTATCAATTAATAATGTCTCTCTGTCTATTAATATATCATTTTGCTGTATTTTCATATGTTTAAAAATTTATTCAGATGATATTTTTATCAGTACCTAGAAGTTTTAATGTAGAAGAGAAGTGCTGACGTAGTAAAATAAAAGTCGAAATTACTGTGAAAAAATCTATTAGTACGCTCTCAACTTTGAATAACATTCAATTAGATGACATTAAAAATTTAAGAAAACATATTTTTTCCAGGTAGTCTAGGTATTGATACTTAGCATCGTTTTCTAGTAAGTCTTGATATGGCAATTTATTCTTCTGAGAACCAATATAGTGACCCTAACAACTGGCAAGTATCGAAAAAAACAGCATCATGCTATAATGAGAGTCTTACTAGCGGTTCAAGTAACCGCAGTAAGAGGAAGACAAAAAGCATGATGTCACCGTATCTTAATGGCGAGAAAGTTACCTTGCATTCTAGAGTCACTGAGAAAAAACTAGTTCATAGAAAAACAACCGATTTTGTATCGTCCTTCCCTTTAGCTGCAGATATATATAAAGCAAATTCTGATGAATTTAAGCTGACGAAAAGAAAAACTAAAAAGGCAAAAAAATGCGTGCATGCCTTTTCAAATGATCGCTCTTTATTGCCTCAAGCATGCACGGTTAGCGATATGAATGACTCTGAGTATAATGAAACAAAGGACTCAAGAAAACCCAAACCGAAAGTGAAAAAGCGACGAATTAACAAGAAATTTCCAGAGAAAAAGATAGCTATTTTCGACCGGGACGCTCGATATTGCTCGCAACTGAATATCAATTTAGACAGTAGTTCAACTGACATGTTTAAGCATTTAACTGGAGATAGCGGAAAAGTGGGAAAGAAACCGAAAAATGCTTACGGCAGAAACCAACTTGTTGATAACGATGTATGGGCGGTACTGAGAAATATAAATAAAATGCATTTTGTACCATCACCCCCAATGTCCGTTGATAGCGTAGAATCTATAAAAAAGCAAGTACATGCCCGAAGACGGCCCAGCGATCGTACAGATACCAGGTACCTACATATAAATAACTAAATATATTGCTCGTTTTTTACCCTTAACTTAAACGATAAATAATATCTTTTTATTCCTAGCTACGTCGAGACTTGTCGCACAGAAGAATTTGCATACATATCGTACGACAGCACTTCGCTTAATAGCCATTCTAGATCATCAAGTTTTGATCGTGTGACTGTAATAGGCAGACAAGATGAAGTTAAAAATACCTGCACTAATATAGATAAAGATGATGCAGAACCGTTACACAATAGCGATTTAGTACAAAAAACTAGAGTACGTGCTTCCAAACCTCGTTACAAGACAAACACGAAAGATCAAAAGGAGCGACGTGAGGAAATAAAACTTCAAACGGATCATTCCATCACCCATAAAAAGGAGGAGATTATTAAAAATGAAAATGTATTGAACCATAGCACCTGCAAATTATTGGCAATCGAAAACGAAGTAAAGAATAATAGCAGGAAAGTGAGTGCCCTTAATATCACTGTAAACGCAGGTATTAAACCGGCAGGTTAGTAAACTACCTACATTATTGGAGTTAAAAAAATACTTTAAGAATATATACCTATTTTTATTTAAAGGTAATCAAATAACGAGTAAAACCTCGATACCGGATCAGCACGACCAAATAAATGGAATTACAAGAGTCGTATTATGTAAAGGCAAAGATGACAATGATTTTAAACTTAACGATAACAATTTTAGACAGCAAATGAGCTTGCGAAAACCGAAAGTTTCCACTACAGTGCCCAGTACAATTATCACTAAATTAACAAAAACCGACATTAGAAGAAAACTAGCAAGTTTAAAGTATCCTATAATCGTTACTGGTAAAGATCAAGTGAGCTCTTGTATGCATGTTATAGATTACGAACCACCTCAATTCTCTGGCTTAAACAAATTAATTTGGCCGTTCATGGTCGATTGGCTACCCGAATCACAAAAACTTGCCATAAAAGGGCAAAAGAATACTGCAATTGGCCAGGAAAAGAACTCTATACCACGTTCAACTAATAATGTTTGTGATAATTCTAAGGCACATAGTAATGTACTCAAGAAAACGCAGAAAGATGTTGAGGTGAAATCGAAAGCAAACAGAAATAAAAACTCGGGGCTTGATTTAAAACCTTCAAAGAGTAGGGAAAGGCCTGTCCGTCTTTTTAAAGATCGTATGATGACTCTGGTTTATAATAAGAAAAATTCAAATTTACCAAATGCGCAGAAGTGTAAAAATAATAATCACATCCCGGGAAAACATATGAGTATAGAAACGCAGACTCAAGAGAAACCGATAATAAGGAAAGAAAAGCAGTTTTCGTTACTAATACCCACAAGTCCATTAAGTGATATTTCAAACACGAAAGTAAAAAGCCATTGGGCGAAAGCGAAATGGGCTAGTGATTTTATTGAAAACGTTATAAGAAAGGTTAAAACAGGAGTATACTATGGACACGAAACTCATAGGATTCTAAAAGGTAATTTAAACTAGACCGATAAATTTATAGTTAACATACTTCTGTAGGTACATATTATACGTATGTTTACACTTTTCCAGATAGTGAAACCAAATCGACCCAAACTGATATCAAAGAAAATGATTTTAATGACGCAAAAACTGTTAATGAAGACGATAAGTTGATTGCTATTTTAAATGGTGTAGCTTTACCTGGTTTTGAAGATAATATTCAAAATTTAGAGTTAACAACTATCACAAAAAACCAAATCACAGTTAAACACTGTAAAACGAATGTTACCGTACAATTCGACATAGCTTTTCCATTTGAAGCTAAAACCACTGTGCCAAAGAAGGAATCCTTGCACATTTTGCCAATCGCTGTGAATGAAAGTAGAATTTATAAATACAAAGCAACAATAACAAACGCCGCATTACCCGCCGAAATATGCAGCATCTTTCCGAAAATGTTAAGCTCGATTTTTGACTCGAATACGATTTCTACATTATCCGAACCGATTGTTGATTCAGATGACTGTAACGGTTTATCCCCCATAAAGGAATTAACTCAAGCGGAATCATCTGTTGGCCTGAATACATTGTGTCTTCTACAAATAGCACAAGCTAACACGGAGATATTACAGAACGGAAATTTTTCAGCGTCTTCTCAATCAAATCGAAATTCTAATCAGCAGTTCCATAAGATAAATTTGGCTGGATGCTCTAAACTACTTAAGCTATTGCCTAAAATTAATAAGGATATCCTATTTGATCATACAAAATATTACTTTCATAAATCACCAATTTTAAACTTTCATGTGCCAATAGCAGCAAACGACATCCCGACCCGACCCGAAAATTTTGATACCAAGAAAGAAAATACATGCACAGCTATTGTTCCCTATATTCCTAAGCAATACGAGATAAAAGATTTTATGATTCCAAGAAAAGAAATCAAGGAGCCTATTTGCTTGAAATATTTTCTTAATTTCTGTTTCTCATACGTGAACTGTTGGAATCTGAAAAACTTTGGGGATAAAACTGTGGTGTCGTTAAATAATACAAATAAAGACATCAGTTTTGTTATACATAAATTAAAAGTGGATTTATTGTATACACCATCAGACAGTTCGACTAAACCGAATGACAATTCTTTATTTGAACTGAAACATTGTTTGAAAGGCAATATAAAAAGACCTCACCATAGAATAGCAATAAAAAATGTATCCAAAAAGAGTGATGGCAAATTTTGTAGAAAATGCAAATCAACATCTAGTATATCACACTATAAGAAGAGTACGCCTTTGCAAAAAATTGCGAATTTAGATGAATTTTTTCAAGCATTAGGTTCTGCGAAATGCTTAGCGGGAGTTATTGACGGTGACATCGAGAGGAAAATACTATTGTTCATTGTAGAGGTAATATATTACAACCATTTCAATAACTAGGTAATTGAAATACTTTATGACTACTAATAATAGTAAATTGTATTTCTAGCAAACAGGTACAATAACATACCAAGGATATTAGAAAATCGTTTTAGGCTAACCATACAATTTATTCATGTATTGCATGAGCGAGGTGGCTAAGAGATGTTTTATTAGAACAATGTTTTCAGATGAAATGTTGGATAACCGAACTGACTCCTAGCCAAGCGCTACTGATCCTCTTGTTTGCTAACAAGAAAGAAAGTTCGAATCTCATTCGTTTTCGTCATGTTCTTCTTCAAGGCATTGCTAAGAACAGAATAACGAAAGCGTCCGAATTAGATATGGAAATTGAAGTTATAGAACGAGAGAAGTTGAACAATTCAGTGCATGTGCGTAATATGAATTTTTTTGTGAGGATACGTAGTTCAACTCGACATTATATGTTTTTATTTTTTAGTTCGAAGGAATATCATACCTACCTGCCTCTCAGGAAAATCAAGATAACTTGCTGGAGGAACTATATTGGATAGCCAAAACTACCGTAAGATATTTACATAATAATCTGTACTAATATTATAAATGCGAAAGTAACTATGTCTGTCTGTCCGGATTTAACTCCGACATTAATGAACTGATTTAAATGAAATTTGGTACCCAGCTTTTTTAGGGCCCGGGACAGGGATTTGGCATTTTTTCCGACTTTTAATGCCAAATAAGGGTTGAAAGTTTGTATGTAAATTCGTGGTTTTTGAAGCTAGAACAATGTCACTTTCTTCTTTGGCTTTTTGAGAATAGGAGTGGGAGTGGGAGTTAGAGAAGGAGTGATATGAGGTGAGTGTTGCGGCTGCCTTAAATGCGCCCCTACATAAAGTCACTATTCCACGCAAAGTCGCGAGCACAGCTAGTTATAATATAAAAATATTACTATACTACTTATAAAACATAATGTTACATAAAAACATATACCAAACTTATTTAATACCAATATTGTCCTATGCTGGGGGGACATAAAATGGTTTTTGCATAATGCCAATATTTCCTATTTCAATTTTGTGTAAAACTAAGCGGTTAAAACAATGTTGCCTCTAAGGGAGTATCGGCTTCTGTGTGAACCACCATAGTGGGTGGGAGCTAGACGGTATACTGACTCAGCGAGGGGTAGTGATATAACAGCCAGCCCCTTTTTCATATTAACTTATGGTGTATAGATTACTATTATAGTCTCTACGCCACACTACTATTGGTATTGTCGGCAATTATAAAATAATGTTGTATTTCACTCTTTCAGGCTTCGGATTATCAAAAGCCTTTCGATAAAACCTCGGAGCGTTTACTTAAATCATTACTGAGCAAACGCAAGAGATTAAACCCATCATATCTACGAGTAATGGCGCGATACGTCGGACTAGGCCTACTAAATTCAAAATAGTAAAACTCAAATTATGTCCAATGTGATTGATTCGTCATGTATTGTTCTGTTTTGTATGCATTTATATTTTATATAATTATTAAATTATAGTTTAGTTGGACTTTTGTTAGTGAAATGCAAAGGGTTTTTAGTAAGATTTTATTAAAGACATTCACTTTTGTGGCGCACTCTGATTTGAACTCTTAGAATCACGCATTGAAGCTGAACGCCTACGTTTGATCTCCTCCTGGCGACGAACCTATTAACGAAATATGTGTTAATAAAAAGAAACTATTTTGTTTTTATCAGGCATTGGGCTAGTACATTAGTTTTTAACTACACAGTACAGCCCACAGAGAAGTTTCTTAAAGTTGAAATTAATTGATTATATATTTTTTTATCTAATGTGGCTGATTTAATACCTTTATTCACATTAAAAGTGAAAAAAAGGGGTAAGACACAGCAATTTCTATTACAGCTGCATACAATTACTATAAAATTACTTATAGCTATATGGTAAGAGCTGTGGAACACATTCACAAAAGCAGGATTAAAACAAAAAAGGTATGATTGATTGATTGTCCTTTAGGTATTAACTTGTATCCCAAATCCAACACCAAATTATGATTCACACTCAAAAGCTTATAATAAATACTTGTTTATAGAACAAAATTTTTGAGGTTTAATGATTATTATATGAACCCATAATATTTTTTATATAAGCTTAAATACCTTAGATTCCTTCTTTCTCTGAGCAAGTAACTTAGCGTAATCTGCTTCGGCTGCTTTGCGCTTAGCCAAACGCTTCTTCTTGAGTGCCAGGCGGTGGCGCCTACGCTGAAGTACATCTGGGGTTACTAGCCTTTGGATCTTGGGGGCCTGTGGAATTTTAGTTATATTAAGTTACATTAGCTAAACTGCAAATAATGCTTAATTTGAATAAATTTCTTTAATTTATTTGTTTGGCTCACTGTAAAAGTAGACAAACATAAAATTTGAATCTTCTGCTCGGAGCTAGTTTGATTTTCCCTGGATTGGAAATTGAATCAAGTTAAAGAACTTGACCAAAATTAAAAATGCCAGGGTTAATTTAAAATAAATGTTAAAAGCAAGCCACTTACCTTGTATCTGGGTTTGGCATTCTCTTTGCCTTCCTTTGCGGGCAAGAGACGTTTTACAACATAACGGCGGACGTCATCCTGTTTGGTTAAATTAAATAGCTTGCGGATTTTGGATGCTCTCTTAGGTCCAAGACGACGTGGTACATTTCCATCTGTTAGTCCAGGAATTTCCTGAAAACCATAAACAAATATGTGTGTAAAAAAGCAGAGTATATAAAACATAATAAATATATGCTAATATATTATTTATTCCTTTATGGATTAAAAAACTATTAGAAACTTGTTTGTTACTTGTCATGGAATGTCTACTACCTAAATTAAGTAGCAGCACATCCTAAGAACAAATACTATGCCCTGCCGCATATAATTACCTAGATTTGAAGATCTAGGAAACAGTAAGAACAGGGTAGAACCAAAATTATAATTCAACAATGTGTTTTGCTTACCTGGGCACCTTTGCGCACAATGACAAGAGCCAAAACTGATAAGTTTGCATCAACAATGCAACCACGCACTGATTTTCTTTTCCGTTCACCGTCACGACGGGGTCTGTAGCAAGAATGTCCCTTGGACATCAACAAACGTACACGGCCTAAAAATCAATGTGGATAATTTAAAAGTTGGTTCACTGAAGCTAAACAATAACAATTTAATATTCTCAAAATTGATAACATAGAATATTATAAATATTACACGAAATCATCAAAAGTGGTAACAAGAAATATAACCTTAAAACACTTACTATTTGTAAGGACACCCTGTTTCATAGGGAATCCTTGTTTGTCGTTACCACCAGCGACACGCAGTATGTAACCCTTCCATTCGTCACCTAACTGGTCAGCTTCCACCTCAGCGCCCATACGCTTCTCATAGAAGATACGGAGCTTGTGCTCGTCCACTACTTCGAATAACTTCTGGCAACCCGTTGCCGGGTATGAAACGTTTAACTACAAATAATAAAACTAGGTTATAACACTTACGCATTATGAAGGCCATCTAGTTTTACCCGATAGTTAAACAACTTAAAACATATTTTGGCACCAATATAATTTTTCACTAAGAATTTATATGTAAGCATGATAGCAAGATATATTGTCACTTTCTATCGCACTATACCAAAAGTATCACAACAGATATTGTGGTAATATATGTGTCAATTGAAATTAATGTTCAAATGGGACATTTATAAACTAATATTTTATTTATTTATAATATTATATTTGTAATAAAAACACTAAAAACCTTCATGACTGCGGCTAGCTCCTATGAACGTCAGCCATGAAAAAGAGATGGTTGACACCTGTCAAAAGATATTAAATCTTTAAAACCACAGATGTATCGTTTATTTTGGTCAGTGTTACAGATATACAAAACCTTCTCGTGCGTGAACGTCCTAAAGATATTTTTATACGTCTGTGGAATATAAATATTTGTTATAATTATCGGAAAATACGCATACATATTTTTAACAAAACATTGTGTATCATATTATATGAATAAACACACCATTTACTTTATAATCATTGTAACCTCTAAATTAACTAACAAATTTAAATGTTTATTAATAAATTAAATAACCAAATGCTCTTATATTAAATAAAACACTTTTAACGGTTTAACAAGAGATGTTCAGTTAGCTTATTTTAACTTATATCCGACGTTTCAGATGAATTTATATTGTAAAAAGTGCTTTATTTAAAAGGTAAATATTCACGTAAAAGTACAAACAATACTTCACCTGTACAACTTGTTACTTATCTTTACTAAAATCTATACTGTGCGACCTCTTGTGACATCTGTTGAGTGTTCAGAGATAAAGTTAGTCAGAAATGTCAAATAATAAATCATATTTGTTTATTAAATTTTTTGTAGGTATAAACGTATCTTATTACCTACCTCTTATAATTAACTCGGTTTAGGATATTTTAAATACAATTTGTAACAGTTAGTCTACAGTAACGACGTGTTCCTAGTAACACTTGTAACATTAAATTTCCTAAAGTTAAAATACAGCGTGACTTTATATGAATTAACTTAATATCGCGTTATAGATTTTGTATTAAGTTTTGTGTGACAAAATGAACAACGAAGAATATAATATATTAGCCCAACGACAGCACAGCAAATATTTTATGCGGTTTTTAAATGTTTTACCATCATCACTATCTTCTCATGATACCACAAGGTAAGAAAAATGTATTACTAACACCACCTTTAATATTTTAATGAAAATTTTATCTTATTCATATGAATATTTTCTACAACAATTGTTAGTTATACATATATTAACACATAATAATCATATAAGTTGTTTTATTTGTATAGTAATGAACATTTGTGAAACTTATACAATAAACAAACTTGACTACTAATACTTATTTTTTGGTTTCAGGGTGACAATAGCATACTTTTCTGTATCTGGACTTGATGTGTTGGGGTCTCTGTCATCAATATCTATCGAACTTCGAAATAGGATAATAGATTGGATATATAGGCTTCAGGTGCAACCTGATAAAGAGAGTAAGATTATAAGATCTTCATCAAAATGCTTCTTAACAAACTATGACTCATCCTATAAGAAAAATTTGATTTCACATAATACGGTTCTACATAAGGGCAATTTATGTACTGAAAAGTAGAACCCTTATGTAGAGCGGAGCATAAAAGTGATCAGACTTTTATGCCCTGCCCAACCAATTTTTTGATAATTATGAATAATATTTTTTCTCAAGAACTATAAAAATTATTTTCTATTTTGTCCTCGCTCCAAAGCCATGAGTAGCATGTTACATAGTAAGTGTCAAATCAAAAAACCCCTGTGTTAGGTATGGGGCAAATACATGTCTGTGTCTTTTCATCAGAATATATAATTTTATATGGAGCAGTTGATCAGACTGCTATGTCCTGTCTGAATCAAACTATGTTTTAAAACCCAATTGTTTTGCTAGGATTTGAACCCAGGTTCTCTTGGTTTCAGCCATCTGTTAAGCCACAGAGGCAGTGTGATACACTCAGGACTATAAATGAGAGGCTACAAAAATAGGTTATATGATTTGAATGATAATTATATAATGGATTGTTGTTTGCCCAAAATTTAACAAAAACTGGTATAATTTAATTAAGATTTTGTGTACAACTTCCTTATTATGCTAATTTTGGGTATAGTTTTTGCTTCTTCTGATTTAATGTCATTGACTATAACATAATTTAAGTTCTTAATTATACATTTTACCTTGTTTTAATAGATTAAGCAATAATTTATACATTATAATTAGTTTTAAACCCTTAACACACACACATGGGGATTAGTCCTTATCTTAATAATTAGTCTACATTTAATACGTGAGTTAATATAACGGTTTTGATAAGAACGAGTGGGACGTGATAGTCAGTTTATGGCTACGGCTTATTTCAGCTACTTACTACATATATTAAAGCCTAAAAAGTTTAATTACCCATACTTTAAATGTTTGTTTTAGCTGGCGATATGTCTGCGTGTGGATTTCAAGGATCTTCTACAGTCAATATAGATTTTAATGCAGATAACAAACTGTATAGATGTGGGCATTTAGCTATGACATATACTGGACTCTGTATTCTATTAACATTAGGTGATGATCTGTCAAGAGTTAATAGGAAAGCTATAATTGAAGGTAAATGTGGAACTCATATACATATTTATATATAGTATAGAAAATTACATACATATTACACAAACAATGAATAACTATATACAAACTAATGACAAAGAATAACTATATAATATAGACTACTATTATTTTAGTTTCGTGTATTTTTATTAGCTTCTTTCAAATTTCGTTAAACCAAGGACAAATTTCAATGTGTTTATAGAAATGGATATAATTTTAAGGCACTGCAACTATCGTTTTTAGTTATATTTATTTAAATATTTTTCCTCATAATTATGGCTCGTAGATGTAACCTTAACCATTAAGGTTTTAATGTTTCGTCTAATTAAATATTTTATATTATGGTTTAAGGTGTTAAGGCGCTACAGACAGAAGAGGGTAACTTCTCAGCGACGCTATCTGGCTGCGAATCGGATATGCGTTTCGTTTATTGCGCTGCTTGTATAAGTTATATGCTAAATGACTGGTCCGGTTTTAATATCAAGAGAGCCACAGACTATATAATGAAATCCATAGTAAGTTTTTTTTTAAATTAAGTATTTTAAATATATTTAGGAGTCGAACCTTAATAAAAAATATTAATTATCTTTTAGGCATACGATTATGGAATTGCTCAATTCCCCGAATTGGAGTCGCACGGAGGAACGACATTTTGCGCTCTGGCAACACTAAGTTTGACCAATCAGTTAGACCAGTTAACAGAGGAGCAAATAGAAGGGCTCAAACGCTGGTTACTTTTACGACAGATAGACGGTTTTCAAGGCAGACCTAATAAACCTGTAGATACCTGCTACAGTTTCTGGGTTGGAGCGTCTCTGAAAATATTAAACTCATTACAATTATCCAACTACGCGAGTAACAGAAGCTACGTTTATGAGACTCAAGATATAGTTGTAGGTGGATTCTCGAAATGGCCGGACACTTGTACGGATCCAATGCATACATATCTTGGACTAGCTGGGTTAAGCCTAATAGGAGAGAGTGGTCTATTAGAGATAGTTCCAACGTTAAATATAACTAAACGCGCCCACGATCATTTGAAATCCTTACATGAGCAGTGGGCGAACGAATCATAGTGAATACATTGCATTTAGTTGATTTGAATTGGTCAGGAGATTTAGATCATTTGAAATACAGATAATAAATAAAATTTCCCAAGTCCGAATTTAACAGCCCGCCAAGGTTCCAAGTTTTTTTACTGTACATACTTTGGAAATATGTCAAGTCTTCTTGTTGCCTTTTATAGTATTGAGTAAAAGAAAATATCTAATTTTTTGTATGGGGCATGTGGAGTTTTTATCTGTATTTCAATTATTCTTGTTATTGCGAATATTTATTATCTGTGGAAAATATAATACTCTAGTTACAACTCAGTGACAGACAGTAAACCCTTAAAATTATTTTATTGGTAGCAAGCCCACAGAGATTTTATAAGTCTCTAAGTATGTAACTACATCTCCTGATCAATTTTAACATAGAGATAATACCCGGTGCTGCCATAGAAAAGATATCAATTATTCGTGGATCTCGTTCCAGAAACGATTTTGCCTACTATATGTGTTATTGCTACAGTTATAGTTTGCGATTGTTGGTACTTAAAGAGTTTAGATAGCTAGGTGCTAAATCTAGTATATATTATAAAGCTGAATAGTTTGTTCGTTTGAACGCGCTAATCTCAGAAACTACCGGTTCGAATTGAATTATGTTTGTGTTGAATAGACCATTTGTGGAGGCTTAAGACTATAAAACAGCAGTTTGCGACCAATAGGAGCGAAGAAACAGTCAGAAATGTGATAAACATTGTATAAATGGCTCAGCCGAGATATGTGTTTGAATTATTTTTCTTTCAATCATCTAAAAAAATGTCTGCGACAGTATATGTATTTTATTAACTTACAAGAACTATGGGACGCGGATTCGTCGGTCACTATATATAAAACAGCTATAATTTATAAAAAAAGAGGTTTGGAAAAACAAATTTATGTTGCCTAAAATAACTATACTACGCGTTACCTAGCTAGCTCCGAATTATCGCAGCCTGGTGTTTTATAGCCTTTACAACACAAAAATAATTTTTCAATTCGAACCAGTTGCTCCTGAGAGATTAGCACGTTCAAACATACTAACTCGTCAGCTTTATAATATTAGTATAGATTGGAGTGGAAGCCGTTTGTTGTTTTTCGTTTAAACAATTTTCTCTTGCTTAATGGGTTACCTCAGCAGCACATATTGCTGCGTAAAGTGGTTCAAGTCCCGCCCTTGTCGTGCTTTTTTTTCAATTTATGTAATGCCATGTGCAAGAACATGAAAAATAAAGAGTTCAAATTAACTTCTTTATTATTTAAACATGAAAAGATTTTAAAGGATTAATATATAAATAATACTATGATATTATAATTCCGCGCACTATAGCACTCTGCGTATTAATCCTTTAATACTTTTCAGTATAAAAAATAGAGTAACAAATGTAGCTGAAATATATAATGTTTGCCTCGTGCCATTACGTTTTACTGGTAAAACGTACTAAAAATTAGTTAGGCTGTTGCCTCATATAAACGCTGTAGGCCGAATAGCGTACTATACAGGTGTCGTCAAATATATTACATTTATTTTATCTGCAGAGTATACCCGTTGTAACAAAACTATTTCTGTAAACAATAATTTGAAAGTTGTGCTTAAACTCCTCGACCGATTTCCATCTATCTTCTAATAAAATGATGACGATAAATCTTGTGGCACCCTGTATAATCTTATTGATTACTTTGCAATGATTTGAAATAATTACGTCTTACAGCGATTATAGTAGATAGCAGCCTTGTGTACTTTGTAAGGTTGCACAAATGTTTATTGTGAAATTGTTTTGAGTGTTGAATGAAGCTTTCACAGCCACTAAACGCACAGGGTCGTCAATAATTTTAAAAGTAGTTTAAAATAAATAATTGTCAAAACTGGATGTTTTACTTAGTGTGTTTATTTCGAAGATATTTTGGACAAAGCTTTTATTATTGTATAATGCTTAAAGCGAATTTATATATATTTATATAAAACATTTTTTAATGGCTTATCACATTTTTTCTTATGAATTATACCCGCAATACACGTCTTAATACCGTTGTTGATATTCTACTCTTTTCGTTATTACATTGTGTAATTATGAAATAATCACTCCTAAGTCGGTCTAGTATTCTTAATGTTCAGTGTTTCAAAAATATTAAATCTTAGTACTATTTTATGTTGTTTTGTATTAATTTAGTAAGTTTTTATTAAGTCAAACAAATTCTTATATAAATAACGATATTGCAACATTTACATAAGTGTGTGTCAGGCATAATTGTGTTTTACTTTCTTAATTTTAAATTTTATTGACAGAGACTATCCGTAGTTAGCAGCATAAAATTATATGTAATTCATAAGTTCGTTTTTTTCTTTCGTTTTATATCCTACGAAATATTGTATTTATAATCTAAGAAAAACAAACGAAGAAAATCCCTTCAGACGCTTAATTAATATTTCCGGGAAACGCGTGTTATATTAATATCCCAGTTCCTGCGAAATATCCGTAAAAGTTGTAAATATATATTTTACTATACTCATATATATTTTGTTGTTATATGTCATTCGTATTTCCTTGTAAATCAAACGTTTTTTTGACACAACTACTCCACTTATGTTCACATTGAATTGTGAACCAATTTTGTGTAGACATTAATAAATGAATTGTAAGAAATTTATATCTTATTATTTATTTCTAAACTCACTTCTAGGCTTAAAACAACTTATTGATACGGGCCTATATCCGTATAGTGAAATATACCGGAAATCTTGTTTTGAGACAGAAGGCATAAGTTCACTTGATACATGCCATATAACATCCAAACAAGATGCCCTATCGATCTATTTTGTCTTTGGATATTCAGAAATCGAACTGAAACCGATACGCGATTAAACTTGATGGCTTTTCCATCTGTGGACAGTAGTTCATACTTCGCTGTCGTGGTGGGTGATTGCGGGGTCCAGTATATACCTAGCAATATTTGTGATGAGTGAAACAGGTGTATCTACACTTAGCGATTCATTATTATTAACATAACATTAACGCTGTAATGATTAAATAAACTATTTTTTAACGGTTTAAAACTCGAAATCGATGATCGTGTAAATTACAGACGATTATATCATACATACAGAATTGATTGTATTACGAAATTAAATTACGTACATTTTAACAACAATTGTATATGTTAATCTATTTTCATTCGTAACGTCGGTGAAATTCGATCCGAACAATTATTCACGAAGAGTTTCTGTTGCTTATTTCCATTAATTAAAGAAGAAAACAGATCGGCTAGATAAAAGGACTATAAATCTAAATGATGAATAGGTGAGCTCAGTCCGTGGATCAGAATTGTAAATTGCTTATTTGTGCGTATTTGCGGCCGCCCGCGCCGCCGAAATCAGGGATTTAGTTTGATAAAATGTATCTGCCCGTATCAGTTGACATTCCGTTATTCCACCGTCTCTCAACTATTTGTATAGATTTTCTCTGATTAATTCGCTAACTGATCCTTTTAAGCCCTTAAATTATTTGGAATTTAGTAGATTGACGAAACAAACAAGACGTTCATTCAAATAATTGACATAAAAAAAACTAATAATAATTTTTCTGAAACATGTTGGACTTCATAGAGAAATCTGGGTCATAAATGCGTGGTAGCAATATCGAACACACTGTCCACGGATAGAAAAGTCGTAAAGTTTAATAGCGTTTGGTTTAAGTCTGCGGATTAAGAAACAAAATACAGTGGAGCGTCGTTCCGACGTCGCTTAACCGAATGACCGCTTATCCGAACACTAGTAACGCGCGGAGCCAACGGTCTCTCGCCCGACCCTAATGATAGATATGCTAAAAAATCTCGATTGCCACGAATGTGACGAAGAAAGAGGTTGATGACAACGATGATCCCGGGTACTAAATTATGCAGGATAGCGATATTTTAGACCTCATGACTAATAAGGCCGACCCCACTGCTTGCACCACATCAACTATAAGTTCAGATAATGAAGATGAAAACGTAGTGAGTGCTTCTGAAGCATTTACTGGCCTTGCGTTGGTTTGAAACACACGCTGAAAGCGACCAATATCAAATATCTGTTCTTAAAAAAAGTCTCCCCGCTTAAGATCTAGCCGCTCCGGTTGGCATGCTTCGGCAGACGAAAATTCAAGATTTTTTTAAGCGTTAATGGTACCTACTTAGTACACATGTTTTACTATAAGATTACATATCTGCACTTTTTTTTGTTTATTTCATATTTGTCATTAAAGAAATATGTAAATGTAAACATTGGTTTTCATTTACCTGTACGTAAATATGTATGTCTGAAACACCTAATTACTTCGGATAATCGACGCTCTACTGTAAGTCGACACCGTCTTTTTTGAGATGTTATATAGCTATGATATGGTATGATATTTTAACCTTATTTAAGTGAACTTCATGCTTGTCTGTCTACCAGATAGTGGTAGACTTTTCAATTACCAGTTTCTTATGATAATAAGAAACTGGTAATTGAAAAGCTCGTCGGTCGTAGTGCATGACTATTAAAATGGTTTTGAGTTTGATTGTGGTCCAGAAAGTTTGTGATTTTCTGAAAAATCTGGCCTATAATAAAGTGGTAATAACGAAATTGCTAAAGTTTGTTTGTTTATTTAGACGCGATATCAGAAACTATTGGTACCAATTCAAAAACTATTTTTATATTCGATAGACCCGATTCGGGGAAGGCTTTAGGCTATGAGGCATCACGCCGGGACCAATAGTAGCAAAGAAACAGTTCAACATTTGGATAAAACGCCAAAAAATATTTATCTGTGCTAAAATCAAAAATATGTATGATAGAATGATTCTTCTGACGGTATAGGTATATCTTTTAAGATTACCTCGCAAGAACCGTTTTTTATGGTAACCAAATTTGGTAGAAATTAATGTATTACACATAACCAATTATGAGAGTTGTATCAACATAGTAAAAATATGAATCTTGCAAATAACAAAACAACATGTGCCGGATCAGTTAC